CGCCGCGCTGCGCCCCCTGCCGGCCGCGCCGCCGCCCCAGGCCCGGCCTGAGGGCCCCGCTGCCGCCCTGTGGGCACCTTTTGTCACGTTTCGTACCCGTTCTGCTCCGTTTTGTACCCAAAAAACCCCGCACGCGCCGCCCCAGGAGCGCTGGAGCGGCCCCAACTGCCGCCAGGGCAGCGAGGGACCCGGCGGGGGGGCAGAGGGAGGGCTACAGAAACGTGTTTTAGAAGCAGCCGGGGCCGCACAAAACAAACAAACCAAGAAATGTCCGTCACCCAGCGGAGTTCCTTAAAAGGCACCTTTTTGAGTTGAGAAATAAAAAGCCCTTATTTATTATTCACAAAGCAGACCGCCCCTGTGGTTTAGGGTGATGAGTTCAAAGACAGGAGGGAATTTTACCGCTTATTGTGCTGTCTGAGCCTCAAGTTACCTGATTGTGAAAGGTTTGCCGTTCCCTACGGAATATGCATCAGGCCTGCACCTGTTGCTCCTGTGGATCAAGATGAAGTTGCACCTTGTTTTTGGTTTCAGTTTAATGCAGTAGCTGAAAGGTTTAACTGCACTAGTTCTGGTCATAAAACGCTGCCCTTAGCCTTTGGCCTAGAGCTTGGAAAACAGGATTTGGTCAGTGCCACAGAGAAAGCTTCCTATCATCATCCAAAAAGATACTAGCAGCCCAGGTTACTGCAGCTATAATAAATGGCGTTTCTCCGCCTTCTCAGCCCTCAAAGGGGCTGCTTGCCCATAATTCTCCCCTTCTTCCTCTAAAAGTTTATTAAGAAGGAGAAAGCAGGGATTTTCCCCCACTTTTCTACCGCTTGGTGGAGGGCAGTAATGCAAATTCACAATCCTGAACTTGCCAAGGGGGAGGAAAATAAATAAATAAATAAATATATATTTAAGTAGCCAGCTCAGAGACAAAAATCAGGCTAAGCCAGTCACTTTTCCATTAAGCATAATGCATTTTGCACCTTTTGTCAGTTTTCTTCTCTTTCCAAAACAGAACAGTCCAACAACATATGTCAGCTCATAAAGTGAGACACTGAGTGAATGAAACATCTGAGCAGGATCCCCTTTGAAGCTACAGATCCAATTCAAAGTCACAGGCATCAAACAGTATCATCAATACTGATGACAGAAAAGTCTAAATCAATCTAATTTGCAATACCTCCACCTGCTTAGGAAGTGCAGACAGATTCATGTCAGGTTTGAATTACTCAGAACCTGTTTCAATAAGATATATAAAAAGCCCACACTTCATAAATATTGTTTTCACCTTGTCATTATATTTGGCAACACAGGTTGTGTTCATTTCAATTAGGAAGGACATGTACTTCCTGAAAGAAGAATAGGGTTCAAATGAAAGTAGAAAATGTAGCTTGTGTTAATAACCTGTAATGAAAGTGGATGTATTAGTGTTTAAAATGACCTACAGAAGATTATCAGAAGGTGTTGCATCTTGTTTAGTGTCCATTTTCTTGCTATTTTATAAAACAGTCTCAAATTTCAAATGCTGTGTTTGATGCAGTTTGGATGTCAGACTGATTTCTAAGCATAAGATCAGGACAGCTGATTGCGATCCCTGTTCTGAAGGAAGCCACCCCACAGAAAACCTTTTTGTTTGCTTTTGTTTTGTTTTACCAGCATTACAAGTTTTCCATAATTTTCTTGATGCTTTAGGGATTGAGACTTAAAGTCATGCTCCAATAATGGAAAAGTCTAAAATTTACACCTGAGCAGAAACTGACGTCCTTTCCCCAAACCGTCCTGTCCATTTAAAACAAGGTAGCAACCACTAGTAAGGCACCTCACATAGTTACTGGAAAAGGTAAAAACTCACGTGCGCTGTGATAAATAGAAATGTAACCTGACAGACCTGATCATTTTTGCAAATATATTTTGCAAATATAAAAGGCTGCCAACTGCTGCCTTTTTCTACCTCCACAATTTACATATGGCTGTATAGGGGAAATTGCCCTGTGAAAGAGGATAATTATCCTGGGAAGAACAAGAGCTGTTTAGATGCATAAGGGATCCACATGACTGAAAGCTGGTAACAGCAGCAACTGAGGACAAAACCTCAGATAATATATTTTGTGGAAAAAAAGAAAGAGGAAACATTCACTAGTAATCTCCTAATCGGCAATTTCTGTCTAGCACCAAGTTAGAAACAGATAGCAACAAAAAAATGGATAAACAGAACATCCAATCCATCTGGTTATCCTTTCATAGAACATTAGATCATCAAAGGAATTGATATTAATTAGCATTTTATAATAGCAGCTGCTGCGCTGTTCAAAGAGAAGCTCACGTTCTGTTTACGGACTGAGGAGGGATCTGTAAGCAGAAACGTGAGTCACGGGTACAAAGAGCACAGCAATAACAGTGCAAAAAATCACAGATGTTTGTAGACCAAGCTCTCAGAGTGAGTCAGTGCTTTAGCTCCAACACATTTTCCCTCATTGATTTTCTGACAATTATTTTTTTTGGCTAGACACAACAGCTGTTTTGTCACCCGTTCTAGCTTTGCAATGGAAAACATTTCCCAGGCACTTGACTGGCACATTATTTCTGTCATTGACAGTACATATTGCAGGTGCTGCTGTACAACAGAACAACAGTAGAAATAGTCACATTGTTAGATTATACACATATAAACTTGCGATCTGGTTCATTTTATCAAAGGAATGGCAATTTACCCAAGCCTTTGTGAGCACTAGGCATATACCTATATATATACACACACACACACACACAAAATGGGGCTGAACAAGTAAGCAACAAGCATCAGATATTCAAACATGTAGAGAAAGAGCAAGAGAATGGACAGACGCTGAAAGAACTGGAACTGAGACAAACTGGCCACATGGCAGGAAGGATGGGAGAAGTTCACGAACTGGGACCTGTGAAAAATAATAGAGATTTAGGGGAAATTATGTTTTTGACTGAAAATCGCTAAACTGGGAATGGATGATCTCATGGCACACAGAAATGGGAATCATAATATAAATGATGAACAGAGGTTGCTTTGAAAACTGTGACTTGGGAGCTTTGGAGAAGCTATTTTAAATGAAGAGGACTTAAGAGTATCCGTCCCCATAAGACTACTTATACCACCCTTTCTGGGGAAAAAAAAATAATTTGACCACAAATATGTAACATAATTACTTGTGGACATTATATTTTCTGTAACTCGACTATCTCAGGAAGGTTTCTTTGTATTTCCTTGTAACTGCAGGTCTTTACTGCTTCACATCTTGATGGCTCCATTCGCTGCCTAGGTGCAGAGTTTAGCTCATCCATTTTCACACCTTTCAAACAAAGTGCAGGAACAACACCGCAAATTCATACAGTTCATCCTGTTTTTCACACTCCTGAGGCTTCTGTCCCAGTTGTGGCTTACCCACGACAAAACTCTCTTTGCTATGAGCTCCTGCCTTGCTCTTAAAGTCTTTTACACACTCCGTAATGTGGCATTCGTCTTTGCAGGACACCCAAGCTCCTCCATGAGCAGGAGAAGAGCTCAACACTGTGCAATGAGCTCCTGCCAGAGCTCAGCCTCCATAGCCACGAGTTTCTCTAGCTACAGCAGTAGCCACAAAGAACCTACTCAAAGTATTAAAAAAAAAAAAAAAAAAAAAAAAAAAACCTACCACTAAAATGAAGTGTTTGATAGCAATCCCTCCCATGATAATAATTTGTCAGCAGTTAAAATCCAGAGAAATCCAGCAAGCCCCATGCATTTCCACTGCAACCATCTGGTCTTATATTTACTGATAAGTAATTTCCAAAGTATGTTTTTTTTTTCCCCTTGCCCTCAAAAGTGGCCTTGCAAAAAGCCAAAACCCCCTATTAAAAAAAAATAAATAAAAATAAAAAAGTGGTGATGAAAGCATGAGGGATGTTTTTCAAGAAAAAGTCGATTTGAAAGTCTGCTAAATCATTCAGCTGAAACTTTTCAAGAACATCTGCCTTCTTATCACAGCTTTTACAGAGCACATCTAAACAAAGTTACTTATTTTAAGGATTAGCATATACAAGAATGCCACATGTGTCTAAGACTTGCATTGAACTACACTCATAAATAATGCAAATCCTATTTCTACCTGATTTTTTTTCCACCTCAAGTGATGAACACAATTTCTAGCTCCTTGCTTTAACCAAAGCAGAGCTGAAACACCAAGTCACACCAAGACTGAACACTCCTTAAATTCATACTTCAGAACTCCAAGTGTACCAACCTTATTATTTCAATTGTTAGTATATACATTAACACTCAAAAGGGTGATAAAAACATGTCACTTTTTTTTTAATAAACAGCATGTGATACAGACTGCAAAGTTAAATATAAAAGCAGACTTTTTACAGTTTCTGATGAACATGAGCTACAAAAAAAGTCATAGAATATAGGCCAAACTTGTTATTTGAGTAGCATAGCAGAAAGGAAAAGAGATATACAGTTTATTTTCTTTTTTTTTTTTCTTTTTTCTTTTTAAAGGATACTGCAAGACTATATTCAGTACGACAACACATGCATCTTGCTGTATCTTAAATACTTTTTTGGCCCTTTATTACTAAAAATGTCTCGCTTCCTAACTATTATACCACAGGAGTTTATCATAGAGTGACACAAACTAAACATGGCGACGTTCCCCCCCCCTCCAGTTAGTGGTTATCTCAAGATAATTGTCTCATATAAAAAAGAAAGTTATTTCAGGTACTTGTGGGTGTTTATACACCCTTCTAGATGCAGACATGCGACTGCCATTAGCTTCAACAGAACAACCTAGGGGCATCAAAAGGATCTACCCTCGGGGCTCTATTTATCCAAAATGCAGCTGCACCCTGGGCCGCGTGAGGAAGAGCCTCCCCAGTGGGTCCTTCCCCCCTCCTCGGACCCACCTGGAGCGATGGGTCCCAGTCTGAGCTCCCCAGGGACAGGGACAGACTGGAGCGAGTCCAGGGAAGGGTCAGGAGGGAGATGAAGGGACTGAAGCGTCTGAGATGTGAAGGGCTGAGGGAGCAGGGACGGTTCAGGCTGGAGAAGAGCAGGCTCAGGGGGAGCTTGTCCCACCTGACAGTGGGAGCAAAGACAACTGCCACAGGGCCCTTAAGTGGCACCCAGTGAAAGGACAAGAGGAAATGAAGTAGAGGAAATTCCACTCAAACTTCAAGAAAACCCTTTTTTACTATGTGTGGTCAAACATGGAGCAGGTTGTCCGAAGCAGTTGTGACCTCTCCTTCTAGGGATACTCAAAACGTGACAGACTCAGCTCTGAGGAACCTGCTGCAGCTGTTGCTGCTTTGAGCAAGGAGGATGGAGCAGTTGATCTCCAGAGCTGCCTTCCAACCTCAACAATTCCCTGAAAATTCCTGCAATTGTGATAGCAGTTGGTAGAAATATGCTCAAAACTTCAAGCATGAGAAACCAGGAAAACAAAGTTGACCCTAGGTTTTTATAATCCTTTTCTCCAGCATTATTATATACTGAATTTCTTAGAATGCAAGTGGATTTTCATAGTGTAATTGAATACTCACATTTCCAACTTGCAGGAGTAGGAGGGGGAAAAGGCTGATATCTAGATGAGGAATTACACATTTTTCTTCACAACAAAAGGTGACAAATTTAGACCATAGTGGCAGTAAGGCAAAAAGAGAACTCCTCTATTCCCTGTCCTCCTTCCATCCCTCCCACAAATGAAGACAGCTTGCCAAAACCTGGGACAGCTGATAAGAAATACAGGAGTATTAATAAAGAAATTGAATACACTGAGAATCACAGAAGCAAGGCAGAGGCGATTGCAGCTATGAATATACCTGTTTTGGCCCTCATGGATTAACTGAAGAACAGTAGATTTAAGATTCTTAGGAGAAACAGATGCTAATTCACTGGGCTCTCTCTAACTTGAGCAGTACAATTAAGTCGGGCTTCTTTAATTGAAGTACTAGAACAAGTCCCTAACTAAATTTATACAGTTACACTGAACAGAATAGTTCCTAAACCAGTTTATACCTACTGGGGAATCAGCACCAGAATTTCAAAGGGAGTCAAGAGAACATAGTATATTTTTGGCCACCTTGTTGCTGAATGAATACTCAATCACAGACAGAAGTGATAATAAGGGCACTTAAGACACACATTTATACAAACAACAGAGCTAACTTCAAAGTACGGGCAGGGAATTACTTCAGTTAATCTCTGACAAAGGTTTTATATCGTACTTTTATTTCCTTCTTATCCTTGGGCATGGGATGAGGGAAAGAGTGGAGAAAGAAGGATCCATTTCTGGTTTGGGTTAGGAGTGCTAATACAGGCAGACCTCGTGTTTTTTAAAAATGTGTCCAATGAAGCTCAGAAGTCAAAAGGAATACTGTGCTGCAAATACTGTATTAACAACAACTACTTTTCCTGAGTGGGCTTCATGATTTTACATCCCATGGAAGATTTTAAGAGCACAGAGCTTTCTTCAACCTAGCAAACAAAAGAAGTCCTGGAAGTCTTAGCCAAAGTAACTACAGAAAAGATCACGGTCACCCTGAATAAGCATGCTGAAAGGGCTAGTTAATAAAGGAAGTTTTCCAAATAAATTGCCAAGTGTTTAATGGGGCAGCTAGTAAACATTCTTCTTGTCAAGAGAACAGCTTTTATACTGATTCATACAAATAAGCAATTTGGGCCTTTTAACACACATGGAGTTTAATTCTGATTTCACATGCTATCATAAATTCAGAGCAACTTAACGAAGTCAGAGTTATATCAGCGTAAGTGAAATCAGAATTTCTGCGAACCTATAGAACTGCTTATTGCACACAAGCAAAACAAAACCCCTATATATCCAGGCTTCAGTGGACTTCCATAGTTAACACAGATACAAAATACCTAAATGATCCACTGCTGGTGTAGTGAGCTGCACATTTTGGACAGATAGTGCTTTACTCCAACTGAAACAACTTTCAGCATGAAAAAAAGATACAAATTCATTATTTGTATGAAAGGTGTATTGCAAAATTAAATTGGGATTCCACAATCTGCAACACAATGTCCATAGCTATATAACATTAACAAAAGAAGTGTGGTGGTTCTTCCATTCAAGTAAAAAGAAACATGGAAGTTAAGCAAAAAAGAAAAAAAAATCTTGGAAGCAGCAAAATACAATTTCCTCTGAAATAACACACCATTTGCATTAACTTGTAGTATTGTTGAGATGTCAAGGACATCAAAGTAATAATTTCAAGTGGCTTTTTTTTTTGTATTTTTGTTTTCTGAATGGGTCCAGCCCAGGTCTGCAACCTGTACAGACATGCAAAACAGTAGGGATTTACAATTATTCATCATAAACACTAGAACATGCCAGTTATAAAATGACAAAGCAAAGAAAATACCTTCAGTTGTTAACAAACTTGGGCTACTGACCACTATAGGGCTATTAACATTTTACATAAAATGGAAAGTTGAAAAACAAAACAAAACCCCAGCAACTCCAAAACACCAATAGGAGGGTCATCACATACAAAATTTTCTACATGCTTGGCAATTCCTACATTGCCCTTAATATGCAGGCTTATATCTCCTCCACAGGATGCCAAGCTATTAACAATTTTGGTTTTATTTAAACGCCTTTTTTTTTTCTTTTTAGTTATACTGAAAGTGTTTTTAACCTATGAAAAATCTACTAATGCACTCTTTCAGAACAGAAAGGTGTGCATGTGTAAGTCAGTACAGGCACCTTTTAGGAAAGCAAAGAATAATATTTTCGTGAAAAACTAATCATCAGCACCCTGTTTCATCATTAAATCAAACATAGCTTCACAGTTGAAAAGTTACTGTTTTAAAACTTGTATTTCACTAAATCACCATTATGTAATGGCTCTTATAGTAAAATGTATGGCCCAGCCCTGGGCTCCTTGCTCTCGCAGACCAGGAAAATACAGGTTTCAGTTCAAACTCAAACTGAAGTTAGTGTTTGGTGCTGCCGATTCTCAGAATAAAAAGGAGGAATTTTCTAATTTCCTTTTAAGTGTCAATAGTTTAAAAATTATTAAAAATGTAAATTCCACACAATCTCTATAAAGTTCTACAGCTCAGTTACAAGTGTTTTCACAGTCTGCAAACAGATCTTCTTTCTGAAACCAAGAAGAGATGACATCCTCTCATTTAAACCAATCTGACTCAGTAGTAATTCCACTATCTTCAGGGAAGTTACATCTGCACAACACTGGTGTAACAATGTATTTAGGGTAAAATGCCTTGTTTTCCTTTCTGAGGGGAAAAAAAGTATTTTTTTTTTTCCCGCTGAAAGATTTTTTTCAAATGTCCATCTTGATTATGCTGAGAATAGTTGCTTAAATCCCATTCTCTTCTTGTTTTTTTAAAAAACACTTCAACTACCCCAACTCAAAATGTCTCTGCATCATTATGTTCTTTTCTTCTAGAGCTTATGTACAGCATTTAGTTGCAGTAACTTTTAGAAACAGAGCCTGATTCCTTATACCTTTCAATTTGTGCAAAAGGGTGCAAAACACTATATGCTTGAACTGAAAGACACACATACCCACACTTACAGAATAAATGACAGGAAAGGGCTAAGTACAAAGAAGTTGGGCTCATAAGATCCAGTAAATTTGAGTGGATCCTTCTGACCAGATTGGAAAAGGCTGTTTCTTACATGAAGAAAGTAAAACATGGTTTCATTACCAGATAAATAAGAATAATATAGCACTTGATGTGGCATTTGTATAACAACTCTACTGTTGAAGAGTCACAGCCAACAGGGTTTCAGATTTTGAACTAAACAGAATTTAAACTGAAACTAGGCCAGGTTTCAAAAGAGCTAAAACATTAGTGTGTATTGACTGCAAAGCAGTACATACAGGGGTAAATGTCTTCTAGAAACTATGACCAAAGTTAGGAGGAGTGAAAAAAGTCATGTGAACAAAAAGGCCTATGTAACAGTCAATAAAGAGTAATGGGAAGTCTATTGGACTACTCCAAAATGTTTAGTAAAACTAAGGAAATAAAACTTCACATTCCCTATACTATTCTTGGAACTTGGGTAGTTTTCACAAAAGCAGGTTCCCCCCTCTCCAACACTGTCAAGTATCTGTGTGTACAGAAATTAACTGCAGAATCTTGACTATGAAAGTGTCTTGAAAGAGTAAAGTCTTGGCTTTACAATCCCCAAAGTTTTTTCATAATGTAATTGATTGCACATTTAAAAAATATATTACATTTTGCTAAATGAAGCCAACCAGTCATTACCTCATCAGTACAGCCTGCACAAAGTACAGTTTATTTATATACTTATATGCTAATCTAACACCAGCTGTCAGCATATTTTATATTACATGTGGTATTGCACTTACTGAGTGGCACCTGTGTGTGCTTGCTCTAGACCTTTGGAATTCACTCCAAGTGCTGCAGATCTAGTAAGTTTAAGATGTTGGGGTAAATATCACCCTCAGAATCATGGGTTTCTAATTAAAAAAAAAAGTTTAATAATCATGAAAACAGTCCTACCTGAAGTTGTGCATAAGGGCAATCTGAAATTCTCAGTATTCTGGATAGTTTCAAAAAGTGGTGCCAATTTAATTGATTGCACTCATCATACTGTGTTAGAGGACAACAGCTACATTTACAAATATATATTAAACACACACGCACGCACACAAAACAGACAAAGCTATAAAATGTCAGGTAACTCCACATGCTGTGAGCTAGCCAACATATTCGCCATATGCTGAACTGCTTATTGATCATACTGAAAATCTATACTATTTCCAATGTATTGGTTACTGGATTAAAGAACCACTTCCAAAGGAGGAAGAAAGAAGAGAAATGGTGGACCCAAAGATCGAGGGTTTAAACATACGTTCTTTGAAGAGTCAGCATAAAACTTCAGTAACGTAAAGAGTATTGCCCAAATTTTTTTGAAGAGACTTAGGCCAATGCCACGTCTGGCATTTTAGTGGGTTTATCTCCCACTCCTTTAGTGTTACTTGTGTCCTCTTTCACTAGGGTTGAATTTGGTCCTAGGAGTTTATCTGGTCACCTTCAGTGACATTAATGGAAACAGGAGTCTTGGACAGATAGAACTGGGCTGCAAAATTAAAAGAGTGAATATGGGACAAATCATGTAAATAAAGAATATATATTAATAATAGTTCCTATTATATAAATAGCCTTTATAAAAAAATAATCTTTCAATAATTTTAATAACTCACCTTTCTTAGGCTCTGGAAAACATGTATGAAAAAAACCTATTCAGTTCAAGTTAGATTAAAGCAAACCTAAGATGAACACTACAACTCTTTGTTGCACTAAACCCAATTCTGACCGTTCAGTTTCCAGCTTAGTCAGTTCTTTTGGGATGAGGGGGACAAGAGTTTCTTTTTGAAGGTATGGATTGCACCCCTAAAAACACTGAGCAGAAGAAACACCATACTGAATGGGCCTATTTCCTACTGCTGTCAGGAACTGTGCAGACGACAGACCCAGAAATCAAAGGGTCATCTACACCCCATATACGTTAATGCCTCCCAGCACATTTAAAAGGCACTGTCCCCTCACTATTATTTTTAGATCTTGAGCTTAAACTCTTTCCCTTTAAACTATGCTGCATTTAAAAAATACTCACTGTCACTTGAGTTCTTTCCAATCTTCTCAATCCAGCATAGTCTTTACCTGTTGTATCAGGTACATGTAATGTAATACATGATGGACTCTCTCATGCTAGCACGATTTTCTTTGTCTTTCTAATTTACCCTATCAAATGAAAAAAGGAAACATTCTTCCCAGTTTACCTTTTTGGGCTTAAGGCATAACATGAAGTCACACATCATACTAAAGCTTAATTTTTGAAGTGTACAATTTTAGTGCTATCTGAAACCCTGTTTTACATCATTTTTTGACAATTGTCTGAACAGTTCAACTCTTTTCTTGCTGTCAGTTTTAATGCCATTCATGGTTTGTGCAATTCCTATGCAACCAGTCTCTGCTGCTAACAGGTTTTAACAGTGCAGTACCCCAAGAGCGGGCAATTAGTTCGTGTTTTCTTTGCTTTCATTTCAGTTCAAGGCATGTTGCTTTATTGTGTGGAAGATCCAGTCCATTTTTGTTGTCCAGCCACCATGGTGAGCATCATTCATTTGCTTCATGAAGTACTCGAGAGCTTCCTGCTCAGTTTTGTCCAATGCAAGAGTCTTTCGGATGTAAGCAATATCATCAAACGACTGCAGTTCTGGCATTCCTGAACCAAGCATCATGGAGAACAGATTTATGAAGAGATTGGCATGTTGCCGAATTGCTAGGTAAGCCTTATAGCACATCTCCTGAAACCTGTAAAAGAAAGAATTGACTCTACTGATTGGCCTATTAGGCGTGTATTTCTTCTTCACCTCCAAGAAAAAAAAGGCTTTAAGCTTTTTTAAACACAAGGCATTTGCTGTGTTGCAATACTAGATGAGGATGCAAGTTTATCCCCAAATCACCAACCCAAGTCAGACTAAAGCAAAAATTAAAATAATTTTATTAAAAATATTTTTAAAACTGTCTTTCCCTTTTTCTATACAACATCATAATTTTTAGCTTAAAAGTGAAATGTCTCCAAGCTAATCTCTGAAGAGAAAAGTAACAGAAGAGACTAAAGCAATGACTTTTCAGTTCTTTCCTAGCACATCTTGCAGAATGTCCCAAGCTACATGGACCAGCTGCAGAGATGGTATCACAGAAGCTACAGGAAAGAGTAGATGGTCAAGTGACCAACAAGGCTACCTACCATGCAGCAAGACACTGGTGAGTACAACAGATACTTAAATATTCTCACTTTATAAAGTTACACAATCTCAGGAGAATTTTGTTTTAGCACTAATAGGAAAAAGTTCACTCTTTGTAAAACACCTATTCACATATGTGCTGAAATGGCAAAGCTGAATTCAGATAGTTCACCATTATTAAAGTGCATTTTAGGTACCAAATACTCTGAAAGTTAGATGCTTAATTAATAATAATAATAAAAAAAAAAAAAAAAAGGACTTACCTTTCAAACTCTCTCGTTTTGGTACATTCTTGGGCTCCTTTACTAATCACTATTAAAAAGTCTTGTGTTAAAACAAATGGCACACGTTCTCTTTTATAACCAAATTTTTTCTTCTTGTGGTCGAGGAAGTGCCCAAAGTCAATGTGAAACAGCTTGGAAGGACAGAAAGGTTTATTAAAATTAGTAATTCCTCACTTAAACAGCATCACAGTAAGATTTACTCATTTAGTTTTATTTTGGATGGATCTTTAAAATAAACTCGTATCAAAGTAAGAGATGACATTAATCTTATGCCCTTGCAAAAATGTATCTTACTTGTCCATCATCTTTCACCATGATGTTGCTATTGTGGCGATCACCGATGCCCAGGATAAAGGTTGCAACGCAGTAGCCAGCACAAGAACGTGTAAACAAGTCAATCGCTGCATCATACCTATTGAAAACAACAGGAGATATTTTCCTACAGATATTTAAATATTATCCACGTGAAGAAATAACATTTTTAGGGAGGGCCCAACTTCAATTATCTTTTCTCAATGAAGTAAAGAGTTCCTGAGCTTAATTACTGAATCACACAAAGTTAGTAAGAAACTGTCTTTTTGAAAACACACAGGGGTCAATGTGAAAATACACATCCTGATGAGCTGATGAGCTACTGCTAAAATACAGACTTTAACTGTATCTTAATAGTTCATCTGCCTCCAACTGCAGCTTTACTAAGTCATCATGCAACAAACTTATTAAGAGAATTACAAGCTGGATGGGCTACTAGACCAACAAGACAGCAGGTAAAAATACATATGGATATAATTTCACTCTTGATAAACTTCAGCTTTCTTGAAGTTTCCATCAAAAAATTAATAAATGAACAGGAAAAACAAACAACAGAAAATCTCACATTTCTCCTTTGTTCTTGTCCTTGAGCCACTGATGTAACGTATGGCTGTTGAACTGCAAAGCACCTTTTAAGCCACCTTTACACTGAATCTGCATGATCGTATGAGAGCTCCTCACTACCTCAATAAGTCCCACGCAGTCACCAATAGACAAACAACCATAAGGCAACATCCTGAAAAAGAAAGTTGATTTTTATAGAGCAAACCACGCTTTATGTTATACAGAACCTTTGTATTAATTGACTTGAATGACACTGACATGTTCTAAAACTAGGATCTTCATTTTATAGAAATCAGTTTTGCGATCTGAAGGTTCTAAAAAAAAGTTCTAAAACACGCTTTAATGTATATAAACATACTTATACAAATGCATTGGAATTATTATCCTTGGGAGAAGTAATTTCTAGTAAAAAAACAATACAAAAAGTGTTAAGAACAGCATTGCTTTAGAATGCTTACCGAAGATCAAGACCCTGATTTTGCCAGATGTTTTCCATGATTCTGATTATCTGAAGTGTCAGCATGTCTTGACGCAAATCTGGAATAGCCAAATACATATAGAGATTGCAAGCTTCCTAACATCAGAACAGTAACACATTGCCACATTGTATTTTATTTCCTCCCCACAAAGTACTTCTAAAGAAAATAAGGCTTGCCGAATTTGCTGTAGGTTTTGCTCTCTCAATAAATAAAAGTAGCTTTTAAATTTTAAATAGCTGAGAATAAATATTTCTCGTAGTGATTTCAAAGTTGTTTAGTATATACACTAAAAAAAATGACAATGTAATTGTCATCTCAGCCAGTTATATTATTCACAAGTATATTATTTACAAGACATTTTCATATATGAAAAAAGTATCAAATGATATCATGTCCCACATCCATAAACTCATCTTAGAAATATCAGACAGGTGGAAATTCACATACTTCTCATTTCAAAAACAGCATATGGAAAAAATTTTTGAAGTTTTAGATTTTTTTTTTTTAAACAATAAAACTCACAAAAATATTGTTGGAACATTTCTACATGCCTTTTAGAAAAATACTTATTTGTTCATGCCTAACTGTTCTGGAAAACAAAATCATTTTGTACAGATCTTTTTTTTCTTCCATATGTGCATGTCATATGCTCAGAAAAAAATTCTACATACTAAAGCTAGGACAATAAGTGTTGAAAGAAACATGCAGCACTTGGAATACTCTTTTTCCTTACCATCTCCATTTTTAAAGATTATCTCATTATTCTGAAATAACAATTCAGACATTATATCTGGGTTTTCCCAGTTCAACCACAGAGGCCTTTTTGCAGATGACATTATCCTGCATTCCTCAAGCCTACCAAAAGAGAAAAAGTTGTATGAAATAAGCAGTTTCAGGCTCACAATATGTTTCTGCAGTATTACTATATTCTCCTGGTTTCCTTCCAACTCTGAACTACTTACTCTGAGTAACCCATAATCAACCACTTTTGTTTTCAACCTAAAATTTAAAAGGCTAAAATTTAAAAGTGTATTTTATTTAAAATACACTAAGTATTTGCTAAATCCAGTAGAAAGCCTGCCTATACTGTAAGTTTTCCTTTGGCCCTGTATGTTCTTTAAAAATGGAAAACGGACTGCACTTTGTTACCTTACAGAATACTGTATTGCTCTCTAGTCTGTTAAAGCATTACACTCTTTACAAATTAACCTGCTAAAAGTTTTATTCAGTTAACTTTGAGGATACTGACTTAACTACCTGAAGAAATTTCAAAAAAGGTGACCATACCGAAGATTTCCCAGTTGATGAGCAGGATTAAGAGGAGAGATAAAGCCTTGTAAAGCATCCATAAAATCTGGTCTCCTCATTTGTTCCACAAGAAACTTCATCTGCACCTGATAAATAATCACGTTCAGGTCTTTAGAATACTGGTTATATATAAGCAAAAGTTAAGATTTCAACTTTATTTAAAGCACAGTTTTGTGCAGGGCCAACACAAACAACTCCACTATATATTACTCAAATTGAAACCATTAGCCTTAGTTCTGTTGCCTTAAGTAGACAATGGCAGTGCACACAAAATATTACAGTCTCTAAGGTATTATACTAAGATAACATACTATCTATGGAAGTGAACAGTATTTGTACTGATTTAGTTAACCAGATAAAACAGTTGCAGTAATTCCTACCACTCCAGAGCTACAGTTTTGGTATATGGAGAGCTTATAATACCTTCTGGGTCTCATCTTTTTTTTCCTGCTTGAGAATATCTGTGAGGTTAATCAACTTCTCCATAGCCTCCACCTGCCTGCTCAGATGCTTTAGGTACATTCCACACGCTCGACAATAGGACTCCAGAAGTAAACCAAACCTCTGGCTTACAGTTTTGTTGTGCATTTCAGACCTACACAGAGAGGAAGAATAGTTAGAGCTCAAAGACAAGGCCACTTGCAGGTGCCAAAATGAAGTTATACCCGTAATCTCTTTCTTTAGGTTGCTTACAGATCTTTCTCACATAGGTAGCTCATGTTGACCTCCTGCAATTCATCTTATTTTAACTGGACTAACCAGGCTCCAGAACCCCCTTGACTCATTCTGCACAGTTTGCTGGCTTTTTCCTTCTACTGCCCATCTCATTCTTTCCTGCTTTATCTTGTTCTTCTCTACTTGCCTTTATTCAAAGCCTGTAATTTTTCAAAGACTAACCTACCTGAGCTAAGCATGGAATCGGGCAACTTCTTTTATTACCTTGACCCTAAAAACCCAGCATTTTTAAATGAGATGAGCATTTTCAAATGAGATGAAATCCAGTAAGGTTGATTTATACTCAGCCTTGTCGACACCCGGAACTATAACAGGCCAAGTTATACTGAGTACTGGATAAGGAAGGAACCTTGACATATTATAGCTAGCAAGCTCTGTTAAGTCTTTAATAAGCATTTACGAACTGTACTTTTTCAAATTGTTATCACCTGGGGAAAGAGTGGCTTTCTGTAGACCTCAGCTGTTTGCAAAGCATTAAGGTGATAGAGCCTTCCATAGAGAATTCTGCAGAGATGGGCATTCCACGCTTTTTTTTTTTTTTTTTTTTTGGCTTAATTTCAGAAATAACTGTTTTAGCAATAATTTTTTTTTAAAAGCAAAAATAAAAGTCCAAACAGGAGAAATTTGTCAAAGGTAACTAGCTAACAACATGTAAGTTTCTAGATATCTTAGCTGGATTCTCTGCTTTTAACATAAATAGCCCTTTTTTTTTTTTTCTTTTTGTAAGGGTAATTAATATTTCAAGCATTTGTAGGAATTTATCATTTACAGCTTACAGGAATCCCATCATCACTTAAAAGATATTAAGCTTACTTTAAATGCCAAAAGAAGAAGTGTCCTATCCTTTGATTGGTCAGTGCCTTCTTGAGTAAAAATCTCACAAGTTGATTATCTAAATACTGTTCATATTTCAGAACCTAGTCAAGGATAAAGAAAAATAGTAAAACAATCAGCCACAGACATTACTTTTTCTACGAACAATACTCAGAGATTAAGACCATTAAAAATACAGTTTATGTTTTAAACAGTTTTTTAATACATAATAGCTGATGTTGGCATTTGATGCTTGCTTTACTGATACCAAGTATTTTAATCTCAACTTGCTTAAAATTTAAAACGCTTGTGCTCGTGCTCTGCTGTACTTTAGGAGAGCTGGCACAGCTGCTCTCCCAGTTAGTAGAACAATGTTACATCTCTGCAAATTTTTGGCATTTTGCTACATTATCTGTAGTGCAAATACGTTTCACAGATCCTATTGTGTACATATTGTCTTTTACTATATTTTCAGAAACCTCTGCTGTTATCAGATATAGTTAAGACATTACATTTACTAACGTATGTTAAAATTACCTGTACCAGCTGGATCAAGTATTGTGAGAGTTTGTCATCTGTCAAGTACTTCTCTAGACAGCGAACTGCGAAGGCTCGCACCATTGGATCTGGGTAATTACAGTCCAGAAGCTCCATCGCTTGCTCTGGCTTGATTGGAGGCCAATCTTTTACCAAACAGTACATCTGTGGGCAAGAAGTTCAGGCATATGTCATACATTCCTAGCTGTCATACAGACCCATTACAAGATAGCACTAGACAGAAACTACTTCTCAGTAGAAGCTGCTTACTTGCTAGCCAGCTGTAAGTTAATTTTGCTATTCTATCCACTATGAAAAGAATCAAAACAAAACCTCATATTTAATTATAAATGACTAATCAGCAATACACCAAGAATTCAAGTAATATGGCTGAGAGAAAAGTGTGAGATTAGGAACAAAATCTCCAGATCTTTCTGGACCATACACAAATGATTTCATACAAAACCAGACTGAACAGTCATTTACAGTGGCAACTTGAATAATCTAAATTTTCCTTCAATATGTTGTACACACATAACTTCTCCTCAAGTTCCCCGAATTTTCTTCAAGATGATGTGATTTAAAGCTTCTCCAAATTTAAAACCTTTTTATGGTGGTGTGTTACCTGGGCTACTTCATCTCTGGAGTTCCATTTAACAGATAAAAGCAGTTTGGGTAGAATTTCTGGGATATTTACACAATAGTGTCTGTAAAAGAGCAAGAAAGTTTAGATATACAAAATGTCATTTTTCTTTGACAGCTACCTACTACATCCCTTCAATCTTGTATCTTTTGCTTCCTCTGTCTGCAGAGTCCATTAAAATCCTGAAGTGATACATAGTAAGATTACAGGGGAAACGTATAGGGAAAACATAAGTTACTTCAACAACTCCTCTCCATGGGTTTGTGCAGTAATTCACACAATTCTACACACTTCAAGTGCCTTTTCTAAAGCACTAACCCCAACATTACAGCATAACAAAAGGAAGCAGAACTCAAGACCATCATGACAAATTTGGAGTGAGGTCTGACTGTGACAATAAGGTCTTTTTCTTCATTTTTTCCCAAGTACCTGTGGCTCCAAAGAAAGTCCTTCTCTTGCTCAGTGATTTCAGAGAGAGGATCTCGTGTGCATATAGCACGTAGTTGCTCCTTGTCGCTTTCTCTTAATTCATTATCTCTAGCTATTCTGTTACTCTGTAGAAAGAAACAGGCACGTGAGCCTCCACACACTTCACACTGTTGCCATACAACATATGTGAAGTAATATATTTTAATAGTATAATATTGCAGATAATATTGTTGTACTCTTCTACTACAGTGTTTTCCTTCTTCCACCTTCCACACCTTCAGCAAGCTATAGTATCTCTCTTCAAGTCTCTCCTGTATTTACATAATTTAGTTACCGGATACTCTGATACAAGAGCAACAGAAGCTCTGGGTTCACTGCAAATTGCTCAGTACCTCAAGAACAAAGGCATAGTTGGTCAAAAATTGGTTTTACACTCAAGAACAAGAAAATCTCTTACAAACTTGCAATTACAGTGCTTTTTAAGAGCACGTATCTACAATTAAGTCAAGTTAATGCAGTCCAGTTCTTTAACACCGATATTCTACAGACTGCTTTTCAATACCTTCAGCTCTCTGCTGTCCAGTTCTAGGTGATAAAGATAAGTTTTCAATGGTTTACGTCCTCATCTGAGTTACAGCAGTTTGCCAGGAAACCAGATGTCCTTAAAAACTTGCTATGAGCCTTGCAGTTTTCTTCAGCCACAACCCATATCATAAGCAGATACCTGACTGTGATGGACTTCCCTTAAGGTATCAAGTAAGTGGATATGAATTAATTACGCAAAAAATTCTAACTATTTGCATGGTAAAACCATCCTCTTTGATGTGCTTTGGTTGGTCAGTGAAACATTAATACGTTTTACTAGTACTATAAAGGAGAACACATTGCTCACTTTGCTAAACCAAACAAAAATTTGGTTTCCTCTATTACAATAAATCAAGATACATGAAAACATTTTCCTTATTATTAACATACTTTACTGAAATTTCAAAGTATTTTTTAAATCTCAGAAAGTGAGTTTGCCTTACCAGCCCTGCATAGCTGTAGTTAAACCCTAGTTCACGAGATATAGTCCAGTTGGCATGTTCTTCAATCACCGTCATATCCGGAAACTTCACAGGATTGCTAAACCAATCAAATTCCAGCTCTAAACATGGAGTTTCCTACATAAAGGAAATTTAATTATTTTTCTGTGGCATGATACAATTCAGAATATAATGTGTTCTGAACAGTCCAAAAGCAGAAGCTTGCGTGCAAGTACTTACTTTATTTGGATTTGATCCAGTAACACCAATAGGATTCAGCAAATCCTCCAGCCCATGAGGTACTGCCCAAAGATTCAAAGCCATTTTCCCAGACACTAAGGTGTCTGTGTAATCAAACATATTTATATTTCCCCATGCCAACGGACAGTGTTCCTTAAAGAGATTAAATGGTCATTTTTCACTTTCATCTATTAATTACAGCACAGCAGTGTAATTTCAAAGAAACAGATTAAAGATTTTTTTAAATGTAAATATATATATTCATGGTAGCTCAAAGATTTACATTTACATTTAGAGACATACATCTTTTGATGTGGTCGATTAAGTGGCTGCTTTTAAATTCCAGCCGATAAAAAATGAGCAAGTCTAACCACAAACATAGAAGTTGCCAGCCATGCTCTGAATGAACTTGTACTTTTTCAAGCAGCCTCAGGATGGGCAAGGAAGCAGCAGCAACAGGATTCAGGAAAATAACACAGTAAATCTTGCAACTATTAACACCACATCAGTTGATCAATTTAATTTGGCAGAGAGAGCACAAAATTAAAAAAGCAGGGGTTATGTCAGAAGTACTGCTGTGTTCCTTTTGGTAACACTTGTTTAGGTCCACTTTTCTGTATTCAGTGGTACATTTGATATGTGAAATTTATTGTTCTAAGGCATCAAAAACTGTGGAACAACATCCCTGATCTTAAAGTTCAAAACTTAGCTCAAAAGATTTAACTTTGATCATTTTGTCCTGTGATACAGTATAGACATTATTTACAGTGTCAAACAGGTAAGGTTTTCTCAATAAACCTTTTCAATAAAATAAACCTTCATAATTTCTCATAACAACGAAGTGGTTGTCAGAATATTATAAGAGAAAAAAAAATCACTCATCAGATTAAATCTAATCACATGTAAATCAAAAATGTCACCAAGCCCCATTTCTAGGGCAGTATTTAGTTACTATTTTCCCCACACACAACTGAAGTAGTTTTGCTGGCTGCTGCAATAAAGCTACAAAGTATTTTACCTCTTTAGCCCCTTTCCGGCCTTTAACAGAACAGATTGAGAGGCAGAGCCGAGCAGCACGTGGAAGATCAGTTATGTACATTTCATACGACAGCCACTCATTCCACCTGTAACATTTAAAAAGCAGAATACAAACAAGTATTAAAGGAGAGCACTAAAGACACCAGAAACCAATCAACTGTTACCCTAAAAAGCACATGCTATGTTTCTACCTGAACTGTAACTATCTAAAGAGAATGCAACCTTACTGAAGAAGAGTCCCTGCAATATGTCTGGGACCACATTTATTATCCTTGGGAATGAAAAGTTCCCTGAAAAATTCCTTCTGGCACCAACGCTGTTTCAACAGCGTAAGTTCACTCAGCTTTCCAGCCGAGGAATAGGAAGATTTACTTAACTCACTTTGACGTCTGCAGCCCCCACAGTATTAATTAGTAATGATATTGGGGGTTCACAGACAACTATGATTACACATGTGAAACAGATCTACTCAGTAAAGACACTGATCTATTACATATAATAAAGACAAAATACTTGCATTTTAATTTAATTATTTCTAAATATAGTAGCATTTAGAAATGTTCTTAGAAAACTTACGGCAAGGAATTCCCAGTAAGCACCTCTATCTTAATGATACTAAACACAGCCTACACTTCTTTAGTATTATTTAGGATGCCTTGGAAGTCATTTTTTTTCTAGTCATTCTTAGTTTACCTGGGATTAGAACAAGGTACTCTCTGAGTATTCACATTGTCACACAAAGGCTCCCCTCCATGATAGATACCTGTTCGAACATAGATCTGGAAATAACATGCCGGTATTAGTACAGTCTTACAAACATTGCTGCAAAAATAGTTTTCATTCCCATCAACATATACTACTGATTAAAACGTATTACTCTTACATTTCTATCAAGCAACCCTCCTGCAAGAGCAGCAACAAAAACAACCCTCTCCCGCAAACCCAAATCCCTTCATTCTCTGCAAAGTGTGAAGCACAGAATATAGGCCTGCCCTTCTGGGAAAGGTGCTTCATTATGATTGCACAACTAGTTCTTGAAAATACAATAAACAGCTGCTGGAAATGATGTATGATTTCATGCAGCATTTGCCTCACCTTGTCAATGTCTCGGATGTTCACATTTACATAGGTTGCACACAGGATTCTTATTCTGAGAGCACTATTTATAGACCAGAGGGATTTGGCTGTAGCTTCTCCATTCATATAGGGTGTAGCTGTAGAAATGCGTCTGGAATAAGATGGCATTGTAAAGGTGTCCAGGGGCAGCTGGGTATATAGGCTCTCTTTAGCCATCAGCATCAGGTTAGGCATGCGACCAAGCATTATACAGCTTCTTATGTACTGCAAGGAAACCAAAACTAAGCTCAGTAAGTTTTAATGGTACACTTTTGGTAAACAGTGCCAAAAAGCAGTCAGGAAAACACGTTAAAGAGCTCTTAAAGAAGTCCTTTTGTGAAGGCTCTTTATGCAGTTTCAGTTACAACATTCAACAATTTACATAATTTGCTGGATAGATCATGCTGTAGCACCTCGTATAGATTTTAAGATATGAAACAGTCTACAGCAAAGAAAAGGTGAACTGGAGGAAGAGAACAGAGTTGGCTCTTATCTGTTTATCCACACCACGAATGAGATGTGCCACGGAAAGGAATGTGCAGAACACACACATGCATTGTCTGTCAATGCAGAACGACAAGTCGGGTTCCTCACAGAGCTTCTCTGCTCAGATGCAGCTCAAAGAGGCTGCTCCCTCTTTTAGGCTGTTCCTAGGAGCAGTTTGGCTGCTTGTGCATACCAAGCTGCTGAACTAGTCTGCCATACTGACCTAGAACAGGTGTCTATGATACTCCTGTTGACAGGCAGAGAGCTAAGGTGAGGGGCAGGGACACTCATTTTTCATTCGTTTGCCTTATCAGCTTCAGCTCATCACTGATCTTGACTGACTCTTTCATGTGAATCTGAGAGCTTTTAGTTTTGCAACAGGACTACAAAACACAATGCATTAAGAGGTAATGCATAGTATTTAGTAAGCTCTTCTGCAACACGGTACAGGTATGTGGAATCACAGAATATTTAAGGTTGGAAGGGACCTCTAGAGATCATCTAGTCCAACCTTCCTGCTCAAGCAGGAAGAATCCCCCTGAAGAAACCGTGCAAGCTCGATAGGTCTAGTCCTCTATCCCTAGGTAACCATGCAAAGCTAGCCAGGGATGCCTGCCCTGGCTCGCCAGCTCCCACAGTTGAGAGGATCTTTCCCCATTATCCAGGGTTCTCCATCCCCATTGCTTTCCATCCTCATCTTCCCCAATGCTTTGTAAAGTAGATTATCAACCACTTTAGACCAAGGAATGGAAGCTATTTATTACAGCAATACAATCCTCCAAGAGGAAGCTACAACCATGGGCAGGAAATCTACAGGGTAACATTGTTACCTACCGCACCAGAGCTGCTCAGATGCTCTCCTGTGCCAGCAATTCAGCATCAAAGTCACAGCACTAACAAAGTCAAGGCACTGGTTTTGAGCGACAGTCACTACAGGGATTTAACAATCTCTTAGGCAGTACTCGAAGTTCACTACTGCTGAATCGCGGTCAAAAGTTTCACTAAGATAAGCACCAGGAAAACAGAGTCTGCCTTTTTCCCATTCTTGCAGAGGGAAAAGAATTTTTTTTTTTTTTCATAATTTAAATACTGATCAGAGTTCCTTTTGCATGATATCAGCCTCATTCAAACATCATAACTCTTGCTGTAATGAGCCTAGGTTGTTTCTGAAAGCATCTGCCACAATCTCATGTCTAATGTTGGAGATCAACTTCCACTTTATTCCAAGAAAAGTTACACTGGGACAGTTTGCATTGCTTAGTCTTATTATAAGTATAAAAAGCAACAGGGACTACGCACTAGCCAACTAATTTAAAGACAAATACACTAACTTCTACCTTTCAGATCAGTTTAATGAAAATGAAATCTGAAAATTAATCACTTTCCTCTCTCACAAGGTTCAATTATTTCAGTGTACTTCAAAAGAAATCCATGAGGTTACTCACCTTATACTGGCTCAGTGGATATTTTTCTAGCAAGTACTCATCACAGCCGCACACTTTTAAAATATACTTGCCCTGGTACTCCAAGACGCAGAGTTTCAGTTGTTCTGAAGACAGCAACATACTCCGTGTCTTCTTCCTAATTGCTTCAGCGATAACTTGCTCAGGCACACAGTCATGATTGATTTTTAACGTGTACTTCTGCTTATCGTTATTTGGTGAGACTATTACCCATATTACCACTATAATTTGTCCTGAAATAAATGTGAAAATATTTTAAGTCTGCAAGTCACAGCATACAGTTCAAGAAGTCAACAAAATTGCTTGCAATATTACTGACAAAAGTAGCCACAAGGTAACTAGAAGAGCTCCAACTAGCAGAGTGGTAATAACCTCTGGAAGGAACTACGTCCATTCTGCTTATTTTTTAAGCAAGTGCAAATGAGACCTCTTACCCTTTTCAACAGAGAAAGTATTGAAAGCTTAACAAGCTGCTTCTGTCCATAAAAATATCTAGATTTACCAAATTACATTTCAATATTTAAAGAAACTACTAGAATACCAAAAAGATGCAATTACGAATTCCGCTGATTTTCTTTTGAACCTATGAACTACTAAACTGTCTAAGCTTAGTAAATTACTAAATTACTAATAAAATAAATTACTAAATATAAAATATAAATATAACATATGAAATAATAAAAATTACTAATAAAATTACTAATAAAATACTAATAAAAACTAATAAATCATTGCTAAACTGTAAAAACAACTCAATGCGCAAGATGTTGATCTAGTATACTAAATATACTACATAAAACAGTTGTTTACCAAAGTAACCAGCTGCACTCTTTGATATCAACCACTGAAAAGGCACTATGTTTCTACAGCAAATATTTGTTACCTTTATCTAGCTTATTGTATATGTGTTTGGGTAGCTCAGGCGAAGACTCTACATTTGGAGGACAGACATATAATGCTCTACTATGGGGTGCATTGGCATCTCGCAGATCCACTGCTTCTTTGCAAACATTAAGAATATTTCTTCTGAAATCTTGCACTTCTGGATCCTTAACCATGTCAAATTCACAGACAGGCATGCCAATAGCAAAACCTATAATATTGAAGAGGCAACAGGAAATAATTGTAATTGATATTTAAACTAAAGCCAGAGAGTTCTTGATGACAGAGATCCCTTAAGCAAAATGTAAACATGCAAGTGAAAACTAAAACATTTTCAGAATCACCCCAGAACAAGTATTTCTAGTTGACAAGTCTTTAGTACAGCAACACACATGTTCTGTCAACTAACAGGGAAGAGGTACATTTTAGCATCTGATTTTAGACACAGATTAACTTTGTTTAAATACAGATCATCTCACCTATTTCTCTATTTAGAATCTTTTCTTCTCTGTTACCTACTGGTTCAATGACTTTTAGAAAAGGTTGAAAGAGCCGCAGGTCACAAAGTCTCCGTGTTTCATCAAAAAATTCTTCTCTTTCTGCCTCCTGGGTAACACTTACAAAAATGTAAGATGATTCGTCTTGAAGGAGCTGATAGAGAGGGTATTTTCTTGCTTCTTTAAAGAGTTCATGCTTAATAGTTAGTAATGTGGCCTCACGGAGGMATTCTAGAGTCACTATCATTCCATTTGGTAGAAGACACTCCACGAGGATCCGCGGTGGCATCAAGTGGATGCCCCATAGTTCACCAGATGATGGTCGTGGAGGCATTTTTTAGATTTCTGATAATTCTCTAGTGGAAAAACTTCAAGTAGTAATTCGTATGAACGAACCTAATTGAAAACAAGAAATTTAGACATTAAAATTTAAACTACACACATCACAAGGAATTTTAGATATAACTTCATATATCTCTTACAATTTTAGCAGAATGTTAGAACAAAGAAAAGAACATATCTTCTAAGACCCGTTGCCTTTGCTAGATGCCCTGGATTTCTTGTAATGAAACAAAGTTCTTTCCCTTCTGCATCCATTACTCTTAATTTTATAAAGCTCCCCACAACCTTTTTTCCACAATGGCCCTATACTACTTAGTCCTTCTCTGTTAAAATCATTCAATATTTTTGATAAACCTTGCCACCTTCTTCATACCTCTTCCAGTTTTACCATATTCTTTCTGCAAGGTGAAGGGAGAACCCCCACAGTTTCACAGCATTCTCAAGGAGCATGTAGAAAATGCATTTACATGGGGACTTAATGTCTTCTGATGCTTTCCTAATTATTCCTATTAAATTTGCTTTTCTGATTACCACAGAACATTAGGACATTTTCATTGAACAATATACCACAGACATAAGTTCTTATTCTGGAGTAGTAAGTTATCTCAGAGGCCCTCATACATTATTGAATATGCACTTAGCCCATAATTTCATTCAATTCAACATTTATGGTATCACAGAGGGAAACACTATCTGACATCCAGAGAGCAGGCCAGCTTAGCTCCTTCATCAACCGCCTGCTCTGAAAGCAGAGCACTAGAATAATGACCAGGCTACTACTAGAAAAATCACTCTTGGGCAGCTGCTTAAAGAAGCCTCTTATGAATGTCCCCCTAGTTTAGTTTCTGTTCTTTAATAATGGAAAAGAAAAAAAAAATTCTAACTTCACAAGCCCTTTTGTCTCAGAGCTTTCCAAATGCTCTGTGTGTGGGGAAGAGAGGATGTTACTGCTTGTCCTTTGCTCAGCAACTGGGGGAAGGAAGCCGTGACTCTCAGCTCCAGGCTTCTATTCCTTGTCTTTATTTAAAGGAAAAAAATTCTTCCCAATATCTCCAGTACTCGCTTTTTCTACACTTCAGTTCTTAAGCACTGGAATGGCAATGCTATCTTCTCAAATTCACTGCTTCCTAGCATATTCAGAATAGCGACAGTGCTCTAAGGTACCATTGCTGGTTTAGCAAAATGCTTTTCAGCTCACACCTCATATATAATTAGAAGTGTTTTTGCTGCTATAAAGAGCTGACTTCTTTTTAAAAAAGAGTTTAGGCTCTATGGAAGCTATTTTACTTTCCATATTGATGCAAGAGTCTCAGTGAGCAGATGCTGAAATGGAAAGTTCGAAGTACATTCAGCATCTACAAAGAGCCAAGCCTGGAAAGCTCCCAACTACAAAACTCTATACATGAACTAAAATAACACCAGTCAGAGCAACCTGGAGAACTCTGAATTACTGATAACTGGTTTTGGTTATGGATACAAAGAAACAGACAGAAGGCTAAATAGCATCTTTTTGATCAAAGCATGAAAGAGTGGCCCTCCCCATGAAGCTGAATCACATGCTTCTACTCACATTGCTTAATTATGAGCACAGGCAGAGACGCATCACTGCTAAGGCATATACCAGAGTGAAAACAAATAAACAAAATAAGAACATGCAATTCTAAGAACTTTTCTGTCCATGCAGATAGACAACAATAAAATAATGGACCACAACCAAATTAAATACTCCCAGTACAGACAGCTTATTCCAGCAGTTTTAAGTTCAGTTCCACAATCCTGTTTAGGTTTCTCTGAACTGGTGGTTTTAAGGCCCAATCTTCTCCCTGCCCCAAGCAGGAGCTACCCTTCCTCACCATGCTGCTCCCTGAATCAGCTCATTAAAGGGTCCAGTGGATTAAACTGAAAGAAAACTACTCAATTTTCCTCTTCAAGGGACAACCTCCCCTATTTCAGCTGTCTTACTGAGTCCACCATGGAGTCGGACGAGCACTGAGGTCTGCACAGGGATGGAGCTGGACTGCTGAGCCAGTTCAGCCTCAAAAGTTGGGTTTCCAGAGCACTTTTATCTTCTCTCCCCACTAACAACTACTAAAAAAGAAATGGAGACAGGGTGGAGGACACATGAACTAAGTCTTTTCAGACTGTCTTTTCAGAATAAATTTAAACCCTTGGCTTTTCTAAGAAACACCACCAAACCCAAGCGTTAAAAAACAACTCAACTCTATTCCTTTAAAGACGGCTACAAACAGGCCAAAGGCCACTCCAATTTACACGGCACTCTTTCCAGAGCAGCTTTCATTTAAAATTGGAAAACAGACCATTTGCTGGGCCTGTGTATGCAATCACTCTGTGCACATTCATTTTGCTTGTGCATGTAAGCACGCCTCCAGGGTTTGGATTTGAAAAGCAGAAACGTAAACAGAAACGGTTCTGAAGTACAGTTGGCAGCCTGTGTTTCTGCACACTTTCAAAGCTGGAAGGCTGCCTGGAATAAATAGAGTCAATTATGTTCTTTGACAGTAAAAGAAGTATAATTTTAAGCGAGTTTCACAGAGATGTTATTTAGATCCGATTGAGGATACATACAAACACTTCAAACACACACTATAATCGCACCTGCAATCCCTGACCTTCCAAAACACCCTCAACGTTTTCTTTAAGAGAAAAAAGTTCTGCGGGTACCACGGATGTCCAAAAAGGCCATGCTCAAAGCCGCTTGCTGAACCATCATGATCTCCTAAGTGCATCTTCCATCACTAACCTCACTGTGCCTCTAACCTAGAGCTGCATGCAAAATTTAGCAGATACACAAGATGGGAGGAAGAGGGAAGTTATACTCCATACCTCAAAGTACAAACTCCTACTGATCCCCCAGATACATGAACTATCTTCCTATAGGATAGAATGTTTTGCTACAGCCAAACATTTCTTGAAAGAATTCCTTCCCCATTCTGGAATAAAGCTCTGTATGGGAGAAATTGAGCAAAAACTGTACCAAAGACAGACAAGATTGGTTCCCAAGCTTAGTTTGCTTAAACATCGCCATCACAGAAAGTACTACTTTGAGCTGCTGCATCGTTGTGATCACTCTCCAGTCCATATACTCACCACATAAACAGAAGATGAATATATGCATATATATTATATATATATATGCGCATAAATGACAATTTTCCATCTCTACCTTGGCAATAATGCTTAGGCACAGTACCCATACTTAATGAAACTTTGCATTGATCATCTGCATCCACAACCGGTCTAAACAATCACGATGCAGAAATAGTCCTTAGAACAGAAGCCACAATTTTCTGAAGCTTGGGAAAACTGTTATCTTCCAAAGTCTGAAGTCCACATGTTCTTTGTCCTACAATAGCCAAGACTATTGGAGTCATTTCTGCCATACTCTTAAACATCAGGGCCCTGTGCATCTACCACTCACCTTGACACTTTTTTTCTCACTGTTAAGTGTATGTTGTACACAAAACTTTGGCAAGAAGACTCAGAAACAAGAGTGCTGCTGATCTAAAGTTTTGCATATCTTGCAAAAAGACAGAAAGGACTGCTAGCCTTCAGTGTATCAGGAGTTTTCTAATCTAGATTATAAAAAGCAAGCAATACTAACAAGAACTTTTATGAACTCCTCCATTAGCAAATGTGCAGGACCCATTCCCTCCTAAGATGACACTTTTACATTTACCCTGTTGACAAATCAGATGAAGTGAACTGACTTTCACTAACCATAGATTCCTAACAAATCTTCTATCGATTTTATATACAGATATAAATACTATGGACATTTATGCTAATGATTTTTTTTTTCCCTTCTCTGTTTAGAAATTTTCTGTGAGCAGGTTCTGGAAAAAGGACACTCCACCCAGCTTGTAAAGCCAGCTGCAGTCACACTGCCCAAGTCCACAGGCCAGTCTAGGGAAAAGCATTTATTCTCTTTAGATGACTTAGCTTAGCAACAGCATTAAGAATCTCCAATTACTCTTCAGCCTTCACAAGAAGGAAATTCTTCCATCTATTATGCACCAACTAGACAAAATATAACGAATATAAGAAAGCAAGAAATGTGCTGAACCACTGCATTAAATAAACTGCATGCAGGATGCTTATGCAAAAAAAGTACATGTCCTAGAAAGAACTGTGAAATCGTGCAAGGCAGAAAGTCAGCTAAACTGGATTCAAAAGACCAGGCTCATACTCAGTACAACTTTACTAATTTACATTGAAGGTAAATTAGTTATTCAGTACTTAAAGTCCATTAGCTTTTCTAACTTTAAGAAATTTCATTACATTGTGTTCAAAGACAGGATATAAGCAATGGCTTATATTATTCTGGGTTACCTTCTGTAACAAGTAGTTGGACTTGTGTGTAGATTTGATTTCTTCCTCAGTTGCAAATTTCCTGTGGACTATTATGATTTTCTTCTGAAGAAAAAATATCCTTCTACTCATTACGCATTCCAGTTATGTTTATATGTTCTAGTTAAGTTTACTGTGCACTCACAGGTGGGTTAACTATTTGCTTGGTTCTCCAGACTGTGAGAAGTATCAACTACAGATATTTGCTCAATAAATAAGCCTTTTTTATTGTTGTTTTTCCTGTGGAATCCCCCAAAATAATTTTAAAAAGTAACAATTTTCCAGGTGCACGAACACTACTTTTCAGAATGCAAGATAAATATTCCATTTTGACTGCCAAATTTTAAACGTTTTAGAGAATAAAATATTTTATTCTTATCTGTAGACATGACAGTCCCTTCAAAACTCACCATAAGGAGAACTGGACAGAGTTGCCTGTCTATTCAAAGCTGCATGGAAAAGCAGTAAAACTGCCTCACACTAGATATTTTTCTCTACTGTCCTTTGTTCCCCCTGCTTGCCAAGCTGGGATTTTTCCAAAATCCAGAAGACTGGTACAAAAGCATCTGAAATTGTTCTCCGTCACAACACTACGCCCACATTTAAACAGTAGCAATACTGCTTTGTTTATAATAGAAAACAGGCTAAACAGATTATATTCTGGTTAATATATTTACTATGTAGCCTTTGTATTTTTTGCATACTACTTTCATCTTCGTTATTTCACAGAAAAGGAGCGGTTATTTTATTCTTGGTAGCTACTTTTTTTTTCTTAGTAGTTCTGAACATCTTTGCAGTGTACTAGACAGACCTACAACTGCAGCCCCATAGAAGCAGCTTTAGAAATACAACACTTTTTCCTGCATAATGAATTTTTGTCAGAAGGTAGCAAAACTAAGGTTTAGTTACCTACAAAGACATGGTCTGGCAGCACTTTAGAACTGTCTTCAACTCTGAACTTGCAAACTAATGTATTGTTTGAGGGGGAGGAAAAAAGTAAAAATAACTGAAAAATTTTAATGTCAAACATCTGAAATACAAACAGATTGGAGAATTTAAGAAAGATTTCTCACAGTCCCCAAATTGACTGTTGTTAGATCCTGAAGTTTAAGAAAAACTAAACCCTAGCATTTAGAAAGATGTTTTAACGCTGGATCAGTTCAAACGCTCTCGCTCGCCCTCTCGCATCAATGCAGGGACACTTTTTAGAACTTCACTCACTATCTGGGAACCATGAAAACAGGATCACGAGAAAGAAGCATTTGCAAGTTGTCGACGACCTCTACAACTCCCACTGTAACTGTATTTGTCCTCTAGGGATCCCATGACATAGGAAGGGCAGAATGTCTGTCCCAGAACATTTTCTTCCAGTTAGAAACAGTTTGGGTTTGTTTCTTTGTAAACAATGAGAAGCCTAAAGATAATAATTTTTTTTTTTTTTTTTTTTTTTTTTTTTTTTTTTTTTTTACTCCAAAAGCATTCAATAATTCTACTTCTGGCTTTACTTCAATAGGATAGATTTTGTGTTCATAGAAAATAAAAGTCATGGAGCACCATGAAAAACTTGAAAGACGATATATTCTCTTCCAACATTTCACATTCCTGCTCTCTCACACTATTTAATCCACTAGCCTGGCTCGACGTACAGCAGGGTGGGAAGTCTCCCATCTGACTATGTTCTAGTGCTCCTGAGCTCAGGGTCTTGCACTCAAAGTCTATCAAGCTGGCAACAAAATCTGACCAACAACTTATTTTGTACCAGTATAAATAAGTTATAAAGTTTTCCTCTGCTAAATATCCTTTTTTTAGTACTCTATGCGGGTGACAAATATTTACTATAAAGAGAACATGAAAAAGAACACACTGGAAAATGTATTCTCCATGCTACAAACACTAAGGGTTTTGATTTCTTCTCCCCCCGCCACACACACACATAAAATCCCCTATTGCTTTTGGAAATTAGTACAAGGCAACAAAAACAACAACAAAAATATTCTACAGTTTCTTTCATGAAACTAGATTAGATGGGTAAGAAATGTTAAAAATAAGTATCTCCACCCTAAAGAATGCTGCTTACTCCTCCTCCTGTTTCTTCCCATCCTCCCACCTTCCTGGGATATTCGGAACCCAGACAGTAAACAGGATCTTCAAAAACAGGAAGCGCTGGCACAGGGACAAGGAGCTGGAGCGGAGAGAATCCAGGTGCTCTCCTCTCCAGCCTGGTCTAAATCTCCACCTAATGTAAACACGTAGGCAGCAGAGCTGCAACTTGGTTAGCAGGCCGTTCCTGGTGCTGATCTCCCCCAGACTATTTCCCTCACCACGATCCACACCAGGAAGGGCAAGGAAAGAACTATAAAGCAGGGCAGTAAAATACCAGAGTTACTGCAGTTCTCGAACAGCTTTGCTTGCCTAGGCACTGCAACAGAGTGAGGTCAACATGCCTAGCAACATAGGGCTCAATCTACAACGCTCATCTCAGCAGCTCCTATGGATGAAGGGCACTAAGAGAAACGCCCCTGCACCTAAGAAAACTGAACTGAGTTTAGGTTAACTTCTGCTTACTAACTTACATTTAACTTCATGCAAAAGACCCACCCTGTAAGACTTTCCTTTGCTACAAAGAGAAGTCCCAAAAACATCAAGCTCAACAGATTTGAGGTTGCAGCAGGCTTTGTACTTCCCATGAAACCTAAGAACAAAATCTGACAGTAACTTTAAGTGGAGACAAAAATAACTTTCCCATGCTGAAGGAACTGCCTGAAATTAGACAACACACGAGCACCTCAGGAGATCAGGTCTTCTATAAGGGTCAACACTGTTTAATTATGATTAGTGATTATGTAAGCAGCTTGACTGCTACATTTAAGGAAGAGAAAAACAAGTTTCCCTGAAACTCCAGGCTCTTTTGCACTGTTGCTGTATGCAGTGAGCAGCTTAGCTCTTGCACTTCTGTCTGCCTTTGCAGGGTAAACTCCAAAGCAACAATTTTGCTTTTGAGACACTAATATAGCTGCAAGATGTGTGTTCAAGCAGTGCAAACAAACAGCCTTCACTGCAGCTAAATATGTCATCATGCCCTGCATGTTTCAGCCTGAAATATATAAAAAAAGTTACCATAAACTGTGACAAACAGTTCTTCTGCTTGTTTAATCAAATGTTTATCATTTCTGTATATGTCTGTTAGAAGCATTTGCTTTGCAAACCATATGTTCTGCAAGCGCTAAAGCATTGCCACAAGTATGGGCTACTGAGATACTCAGCTTGTTAATGATGCATCTCTTTTTATGCCTTAAACTGTTGCTCAAGTTGTTTCCCTGATGAGGTCACATACCAGAAATCTGTGCTTACTATATCTGAAAGAAACTGCTAATATTTGCCCAAACAGAAAATATTTACAAGCAACATGAACTTTCCAAAGAAAGTGACCTAAGCTCATAGGTATTTAAACAATGAGCAGCAGCACTGACAGAGTGATTAAAGGTTTCTAAGCATCCTTGCTTGAAAAACCACTTTTGTACCTCCAAAAAGTTAGGTCTGAGACTGCGGGACATCTAGCCTGTCACTACAGTCCCCTATGGAAAAGGAACCGTAGTGATATGCAACTTTAGAAGGACAGTTTTCCTTAAGAAGATAAACACACACAGAGGCTGCTGGATGTCAGTCACTGCTATTATAATAATTTTATACATCTGCAAAAACAAGGAAGTAATGTTAATACAAGGCTCTCTGGGAACAATCTGTTAATGTTATTGTAGATGGGTATATTCAAAAAGACATTTTCAGTCTGATTAATGAAAGATTATGAAAGCCTAGATGGCACAGATTTAATTTCAATATATAAAAACACCAATTAGGGAACTTCTAAAAATAATTTTAAATATAAATACATTTTAAGAACTTGTCTACATACTAGGACAAAAAGAAAGATTAGAAACTAAAATCACATTGTACTTCTCACATTGCAGTTCCCCATGATACTAGCCTGCCTGCTGATGTACAATGAAGGGCTTGGAATGGGGGTGATGAAAGAAGAGTTGAAGAGCTGGATCACAAAGCAATTTGCCAATACATTTAAGCAGAGTTTCCACTTACAAATAGCTTTTGTTCTCCTTTTCTTCATGTATAAGCTAGAATGTCAGCGTTCATTGGCTCCCATTTTCTTCCTCAATTTCTTTGTGATGGTTGTAGTTTTCCTCTATATGTTGAAATACTCTAAAGTTGGAGATATCAGAGAAGAAGGGAGAGCTGCTGAGCAATGATAGCTACATCAGTGCTTTATCCTCCGATGCAGATCCATTGGAAGAGGAAAGAAAGGAAAATTACAACCCCAGTAAGCAGCTGAACACAAACAAAACACCATTACTGTTCAGGTTAAAAACATCAGGGTCCACTTTAAAAGTATCTATCATATAAGTTCACATTACTCGTTAAGCATATGCTCTACAGTAAGAGCATCTCAACTACACATGCCACGATTTTACACCAAAGCACAGACATAACTTACTATCAAAAAAAAATTATAACCTCCTTGACCCACCTGCTAGGCTAAAAAGCCATTCAAAGGGTATTTGGACACATCGTTAATTACACACCACAATGAAAACTACTCAAGCTGTCTGGGTCTTGCTAAAAATTAGCTCTTTCACTTTGATGCTAAAGGTTTTCTTGGGACACATGCTCTTCTACAGCACCTCATGGCAAAACTGAAGGAGGTTTCACAGAAGTGACAGCATGTAATTGCAAGAAGATGACATACCTTGTATTAATCACTTTCCTCCCACCAGTGGAGACTGCCTTGATAAAGTGATAAGAGAAAAAGGTTGCTCAACATCTATATGAACCTTTTAGAAACTATTCTAGACATACTCTAGCTGATTACTACAGTCATAGCTGAGAACATGATCCCTAAAAAAGCAGTTTGCAGAGAAGAGCAAGTGATATGTTATATTCTGTGGTTTAATGGGCACAAAATAAAAATTTTAATTTACAGTATTGTTTGGGAGGGAAATTTTTATTTCCCTGTCCCCAAGAGAAAGCTACCTATAAACATTTCCTTATGCTAGAGCTATTAACTTTAATTGTCAAAACCATGCCTGCTGTCAGCAGCCCAGTTAGTATTTTCTGGACTTAATGAGGAGTTAATTAAATGGCACAAGCATCATGGTTTGATAACAACACACCACACCATGCAAGATGCAGTTGATAAGTTTAAAAAAGAATTCATCTCTACTTTGCCTGCTTGGCAACCAGTCTTTATTCTCTGCTCCTTCTTACTTTATTTGTACTTGTACCCTATTTTCCGAGCTTAGTTCCCTTATATCTGTGCACTGATTGGCTTCATTTTTCTACAAAGCGAAGGGTCACAAAGTCTCAAGATACAGAAAATTCTGTTCAAATTATTAGATGCCGATCACAGAACAGACAGGTATTTCTACTCATGACTTATTAGTCTCAGATGAGGTGCTGAATCCTGAACATTTTCTTTTCTCACTTCCACAGAGGGCTTCTTGCATTTTGAAGATGTTCAAGAACTGCTTGTTTCTTTGTTTTCCTCTGCTGATAGCTGAAGGAAGGAATTAGGTTGCCACAATGAATAATTTCATATGCGTGCACATACGCACATTTATATATTTATAAATAAAACAGAGGTAACATCCTCCACAAGGACTCAGGGCTAAATAGTTGATTAAGACATTGTTTTCCCAGATTACAGTTGCACCCTGACCATAAGGCTTAATCTTTGTTTCTGGAAGAACCATGATGCAAGTAAACAAAATGAGTTATGATGAGGAACAGCCCTGGAACCCACTGAATGGGAGGAATTCATCACCACATTAAGTACCAGCAAAAGACTTCTCATTCTTCTGAATCATCAGTATCATTATTTTACAGGCTGAATAAACACAGTGCATACTTTTATTCTGAAATGCTAGAAATAGCAGGTTTGGCTGCTTTTTTATACCTCCACCTTGGACAGCATGCTCATCTGCAGGTGCCTTTGCACAGATAAAGACAAAATTCCACCTGAACTGCAAGAGATTTCACTTTATTTCTCTTTTTAATAATACCTTCATCTAGATATCCCCAACAGAAAGGGCCAAGACTAAGATGAGATACAAAGACACTTGAGTTCTTTGATAACGCAGTATCTGTGGCACTGGGAAGTCAGCTGTGACCGCTGAATGGCTTGCCCCTCCAGTAAGAAGTATGCAAATAACAAAATCAGTTAAGATAATATTTTAGACATGTTGTACAATCTAGGAGGCAACCTTCCAGCTCTCCTTCCTTCCTTTCCACTTTGGACCTTGAAGAGCGCCAAAGGGATGTTCCTCTACATTTCTTTGCTTTAGGAGAGGATCATAATGTACAGCCAATAATGTGACTCAGCTTTCTCAAAGTTGCAGGGAATTTTACAGTAAGTCTGAGCTCATTCATTAAGTCTCCTATATCTGACAAACATGCTGAAGTGATGGTTCACAGCTCTCAGAAGTTACAAATCTAAGTTTTTAGTAAGTCTTTTGTTAACTAGAAGCTGTAAGCAGAACTGCCAGGGAAAAGCAGTCTCCCTACATTAAATAAATTAGGATGTAGGTACTCATGATACACCTCATTAGTAGCCCAAAACTACATCACCTCTGAGTATTCCTAACCTTCTACTGGTAAAAAGCCAAGGGACACGAAAAAGATGGTTGAACCTAGAATTTGGTTTGACCCAACTCTTTTAAACTAATGAAGTAGTATACAACCAGTGATTTACACTTTTTTTTTTTTGCAAGGTAGAGCTCTACAAGTCCTCCATCATTCTCCCCTTCACATTTGTGACCGTATATTCCAATGTCCGGCCTCAAGAACAAAGTATAAATATTACCAGTAAAGGTACTTAGTCAGTCATGTATACCTTTATTCCCCTCCATTTATTAGTTTTGAGATAGGTATGCTATTAACTGAGAACAAAAAATAATGAATCCCAATGTCTATCATATTTTGGGGATTTGAAATATATGGAATTGTTAGGCCACCTTTCATAAACTCTATATCCAGAAGTAACTACAGCAGTACCTTTCTAGAAGAAAGCAAGTTTACAAAAATGCATCACCAAAAAAGTGAGGTTTTATAGCAGTTTCATTTTTTCCCTTATTCCCTAAGCTTAAAGAAAAAGAAAAGGAATAACTGAAAAACAGATAACACATAAGGAGGATATTTCTATTTCATTTAACCTGTCATTAATTATTCAAAATTAAACTACAGAATAATTGAGGTTGAAAGGAATCTCTAAAAGTGATTTGGATCAATCCCACATTTTAAATACTTTAAATGTTTGTTGCCCAAGTAACTATCATGAGAAACAAATTTATTTTCTGTCTCTCTGCTGCTCAAGTTTGGGCTGAGATACTACAAAGAAAACTTGTAACAACTCTTTCATATGTCACATTCAACTTAAAAGTCAAGTTTTAGCATAAATATTTTTGTTGCCTTTTCTAGTCATAGATGCAGCTTGAAACATGCACCACAATTTAGAGCAACTTTATGCCTGGCTTTTTAAAAAGAACAGACAAATAGTAGTATGAAATGCAGTGCATGGATTGCTGACAAAGGTAAAACATAGAAAAAAACCCCACACATACTAACCTACCTCAGTATGCACTTCAAGCTGCAAAACTTATTTTTCCCATTTTGCCAAAGTATGTTATAAACTTATGCTCTCACTAATGATCCAACTCCATCACACACATGGCAAGCATGTGTGTACATAGCACGCATCATATTTTTCTCATCTGAGAGATTCACATCTCAGAGTTCTTCCAATAATTATAAAATTTTAATAAGCAAAAACTCATCTCTAGGTGGAATTTTAAGACTAAACAAACAAACCAATCAAACAAACAACAACAACAACAAAGAAACCACCTACCTTCCTCCTACCCAGAGAGGTATATCATTCTAAAGCTTCCACTTTTAGTATGGAAGCTTTAGAGCTTCCTAGAGGTATATCATCATGTATCATTCTAAAGCTTCCATCAAATCAGCTACACAGGAAAAACCTACTTCCAATCCTCCTTCAAAAGCAGCACTAGTCTGACTGTCAGAGAAACAGCTAACTAAGTCCTGGACTGCTTTATGGTTTCTAACAGAGCACATTTCTTTTGTAAACAGCACCCTTTCCAAAGAATACTCCTCACAGAAGCTTCAGTTTCGTTATTGGTGGAAGCAAGCAGTAACAGGCAGCAAAACAATTTTGTCATTATCAGAATGACAGTTTCAAGAGAAGAACAGCTAAACGTCCAGGCAGGGATTTAGTTATGTGCTCAACTAGGCACTTATAGTTCTCTCTGAAAAGCATGAAATGCTGCCTCCAAGTTGCTGAGAAGGACATCAAGTCAAAACATAAAACACAGGATCTCTACTCCAATACTGGAGCATCAGTTGCAGCTCTGGAGCTGCTCTATTTATTGTCTTGAGGAAAAAGCAGGATCTCTCAGAGATCACACCCACAAAAATGTGCAGTTTCCTAAGATCTTCTGTAACTCCCACAAGCTGAGTTGATGTGGGCTTTGTCTACATGGAGTATTGGCTAAAATACGCACCCAAGTAACTACTCTGGAAAAGCTTGTTGTGGTTACTGCTTCGGAATAAAGTTACTTATGGTGAAACTTGATATTCACAGGGGGCTTATTTCAGAGGAGCTCATTTAGTCTGTTCTCCCTGCAGCAGACAAGCTATTATATCCCATCACTCTGCAATAATCCTGGGAACTAAGGATGTTTATGCATAACAAGAGGCGGACCTTTCATTCTAAGACCGGACTGCAGAATTGCACTATAGGAGCAACCACTACCAAGAACTCCCTGAAAGTTGGGAGGGAAGAGGCAGGGAGGAGATGAATAATGATTCAGATAAAATTAGGAACTTCTCCACCCTTATCCAGCACAAACAATTCCAAACCTGCTGCAGACTGAAGCTCTGCTAAAAGAAGACAAGTAGGCAACAAACACAATCCTGAACTCATTTTTTGCCCATTATTTTAATTGTTAGGAAATTCAGGCCCAGAATCCAGTTTATTGCTCCTCTACAAGCTCTCTGCAGATCCTTCCAACTGTAGAAGCAACTCGAGCAAAGCTGAATAACCAGAACGTCCCTCTTTTAAACATACACGTTCCTTAAGCTTAACCTGAACGCACTGTTTTCAAACAGCCTCTTCCATGCACCGTTACAGCCAAAAACAAATCATACTAAGAAAGGCACCTTTAAAACAACAAAGGTAACAGTTCTAGTAGCTTCGTAACTCTAGAAACATTAAAAATGGCAAAAAGGAAAACATCAGAAGAAGCCTCGCAGTTTGCATTAACTGGGTGAGTATTTCCAGCGGGCTGAATGCTCACTACGGAACCGCTGGTTAGAGAGGAGTTTCACTTTCAGCGGCAGCACAGCCCCGCAGTTTCACTTTTACCAGCGGCGGGAGGCCCGTCCCAGGGAAGCGCACACGGGGGAGCAGCCGCGCAGCGCCGGCGGAGCCGGGCGGCGAACCCGCGGCCGCGGGCAGGGCAGGGCAGCCCGCGCGGCAGCGGCTCCGCGGCGCGGGCACCGCCAGCCCGCCCGGGCCGCTGCTTCCCCGCGGGATGCGCGGCGTCTTCCTCGCTCCGCCGCCACTTCCCTCCCGGGACGCGCCCGCCGGAGCGCGGGCTGCGCGGCCGCCTCCCGCCCCAGGCCCGGCGCGGCGCCGCACTCACCTCGGCGCGGGCCCGGCCCGGCCCTGGCGCGGGCTGCGCCGCTCGCGGCCTCCGCGCCGGCCCCGGCCCTGCGCCGCTCCGCTGGGCGCGGGCGGAAGCGGCGGCAGCTCCCGCGAGGGCCGCCTCCCGCACGGCAATAACAGGAAGGGAGCGGAGCCTGACCCCGGATGGGGATGGCGCCCGCGGCAGGAACGGGAAGGCGGCACCGCGCCCGGGGGGGGAGGGGGGAGGGAGGAGCAGTGCGCATGCGCGGAACGGGACCGTTGGGGCGCCCCGTGACGTCACGGGCCGGCCCGTTCAGGGAGGGGAGGCGGCGGCAGCTCCGGGCGGAGCAGCGCCCGTTTGGGCCGTTTCTGAGGGTTCGCCGAGAGCCAGGCTGCCCGCGGAGTCAAACCGCCCTGTGAGGAGCTAATGGTTGTTACAGAGCCACCTTGCCCAGTGCGTACCCGCACGAGTACGAGAAAACCGCAGCAGTTAACGGCTGACGTGCTCGGGATGGCGGTTCTGGTCTCCCGGGCGGCGAGGGGGCCCTGCGCTCTTCAGGTGCCTTAGACAGCGGACGGGGCACGACAGGGGACACGGGGAGAGCGGCGCCATTCGCCGCAGAGGCGCCCGCGCCCCTGGGGCTGGCGGGTTTATTCGCTCTCCGCTCCAAGGAAGGGCGCCGAGGGGGCTCGGCCCGGCCCGGCACCGGGCACGGTGGAAACGCGCCCGTTTAAACGTAGGGAAGACAGGGGAACGGAGGGGTGGGGATTGAGCGTGCGCCGCTGCAGGAAGCTCCGCCCCCCGGCGCCGCCGCGCTGGCGTCACTTCCTGCGGCCGCCGCCGTTGGCGTCCGGCGGCCGCGCGCTCCGGCGGCTGCGGGGAGCGGCGGGTCTGGGCCGGGGGCCGGGGCCGCTGCCGGGCCGCGCCGCGCCGGGCGCTGCGCTGCGCTGCGGTGAGTGAGCGCGCGCGCGCGCGTGTGTCCGCACGTATGCACACGTATGCACACGTATGCACGTGTGCGTATGCATCTCCGCGTTTCGGGCTCAAATCCCGTTTATTTTGCATATTTTTTTTTTCCGTTTGAGTTCTGCGCAGAGCTTGCCGGGGCGGGGGCGGGGTTTGGAGGGCAGGGTTGCACCCCGCGTTCAGATACCCCCCCCCACACACAAGGGGTACCGAGCGCCCCTGTTTCTGGGTGCCAGGGTGGCCAGAGGGCTGTAATGCGTGTATGAGTGTGCATATATACAATGTGTATGTGTCTGCGCAATGTATATCATCGTTTTAATGTACCTCTATTCAGTCTTGTGGCCTTTAGTGGGGACCCTGCTTGCTATGCCCAGCTCTTGGCCCCAGGTGTTTTCCCTGGGAAAGCTGCATTCCATGACAACAGTGGTGTGAGGTAGAAGTCAACTTGAGAAGAAACGTTCCCTGTTTGGAACAAAGCAACTCTTTCTTCATCAGTATAGACGTGCATCGCTGTTATGTGGTGCTGGCTTAAGAGCTGTTAAAGCAGATTTCTGTGGGAATGCCTCGTTTTGCACAGAGGTCTCCTTGTGAGCTGCATCTGTGGCCGAGGAGGGTCCTACTGGGCCTGCACCTAACCAGGAGGTGACCGGGTTTGAGGCCGTGGTCACTGCTCTTACCATTGGTGCCACTGCCAACACCCACGTGGTACCGGTACCGTGTCCTGGCACTTGGGGCTCTCCTGGCTCTGTGTGGCACCCTGAGCGAAGGCTGTGACAGGAGCTGAGTGCCTGTCCCCTCGGCAGCCTGGCAGGGAGCTGCAGGACGGGGCAGCCCCCTCCTCAGCCCTCCCTGGGGACTGCAGGCCCCTCGCCCTGCGCTGCAGCCACCCCAGGGAGCCCTGGGGAGGGAGGTGCTGCCTGCCCTGCCGCTCCATAGCGCAAAAGTTTTGCAGCTTCCTATGTGAACGGAAAGGAGAAATTGAAGGTCTCCTGTTAATTTCTCCTGCACAGCGTGTCTGTAGATCAGAATGGAGTGTTGTAGGAGGGTTTGAGTAAAGTGATTTTTTTTTTTTTGGCTTTGTAAGACCCCAGAAAAAGAAATCAATGTAATTCCAGCAGTTCCATTGATGAAAGATTGCCATGGGAAGACCATTAAAATTGTGCATGTAGTTTTAGTTGCATATGCAGCCTCAGTTTTAACTTCAGACATGCATTTATGTGAAGAATCTTTCATTGTAAGATCATGCACTGTTTCTTAGGGCATGTGAAATTAACACTCTTTCCCTGTGGAGGTAGATCAGGTTAGTGCTGTGCCCTGTCTTTTTCATGGCAAACTCCATCTGTGACAGCCGTGCATGGAACTTATGCAGAAGGATCCCTGGTGCCATTTACTCTAGATCCCTTGATATGACTGTATAAAATATTTAACTAGAATTTACTCCCAATCTAAGGTAAGAGGCCCATTATGGTAACGGAGTCAAACACTGAAATTGTATGGTTGATCTAAATAGCCTTGATAACCCTGCATTTTGAGACATTTAACCACGATGATTGTGACCTTGTTCCACTGGTGGCCCCATTGAGCTGTCTACAGGGTGTGAAACGTGGAGACTGAGGAATTCTTTTATTTTTCCATAGTCATGCTTAGCCAGGAAAACTTGTGCTAGGCAGGAGAGCTGTTAGGTAAAGCTACAGAATTCATACAGTTTGATGGTCTTCTTTATTCCAGTGGGGCTTAATAGTAATATTATTGTACTCATATTCTAGAAGGATTTCCTATCCTAATCACAGTGGGAGAGATGTTAGGCTTCTGGCTCATTAGAGTCTATACTAACATCAGTGCTTCCCTAAACTCACTTGTAAAATTATTTTTTCCTCTCAAAATTGGTCTTTTAAAACAAACTTCGTCTTCCCAATTGTTACTATTTCATCCAATTTATTTCTTCATTATGGTGGGTTCCTTTGCTCTTGTTTCAGTTAATTTTTCATGAGGCTGTTCTTCTTTTATGGTCAAGGTTTGGCTCATGTGAGGGATAGTGTTCACTGAATTTCACATTACCTTGCCTACAGGAAGACTATTCAGAACCATTAATTCTAGCTAACTTAAAAGGTTGTCTTTTCCTCAAAACAATGTATACTCTCCCCACCTCTTCCCCTTTAGTTTTCAGGAATGATTGAATTGCCTTCAAATTTATGTTATGAAAGCTGGCTCTGGTTATAAAAGATTAGAGCTTTGGTTGATTCAGAACTCTAGCTTCTGGTTAGTTTTGCATGGGGAGCAGGTTTGAGTGAGCTGTTTACAGGAATGTTTACAGGAGCCTTGCAAAAGCAAGAAATAGCAGTTTCAGAGGTAAAAATTTCAGAAGTGACTTGTCACTTTGGTGCTTTAATCACAGTTGTTCATTTTTTCTTTTTAATATAATGTAGACCTCTTGAGGGGCAGTCTTTCAAAGGTAATGCATTATCTTAAAATGCAGGCATAAACTCAGACCAGAACATAAATGTGGCAAGGTATTTGTTTCCTACTAATTTTAGCACATTGAAAATCCTGGAAGTTATCTCAGATAAATGCTATCTGCTTTTCCAGGTTGCAAATTTTTTTTGAAGTCAAATTCTATTTTCAGAAACATTTTAGGAACATAGTTTTTAGCTGTAATTTCACTTACCTTTCCAGTAACGTTCTAGAAGTCCCTTATTTTCAGAAGTGGATGTGAGTCACTATTTAATTTAACGAAGCCCATGGCATAAACATGGTAGCTGCAGGGACCATCTCAGCTGAAAGTGAACTGCAAAGGCTGAGATAACATTCCTCTCTTGCCCAGTTTAACAGTGAACAGCATTTGCTGTGACACGAAGCAGATAAGAACAAAAGTAGCTATTCTTTGATTCATAATATTACTGTTCTGCACTACTATAGGAATGTTCATCCCGGGCTTTAGATGTGATTTATAAACTAATTAAATAAGGCTCTTGGAACCCGTTGCTGGAAATATAGGGGTGCTTCTAAGAACTTGAATTAACTCACAAATAATTGAGTAAGGGTTAATATGGGATGAGCTCTCCCTTCTTGTAGAGGAGGAAGATGCAGCTTTAAATGTTGCGTCGTTATAGTTAGTAAAGGAAGCACTGAGAAAATAGCTCAAGGTCATTCAGCAAGACCATGGAGGCGCGGGGAGGAGAGCCCTTGGAGGCTGACTGCGTCCGACAAGGTGTGCTCGAGTCCTTTCCCACTCCCCTGCTTTTTATTGACTTACTTGAGAAAAGTTAACTTGGAGAATGTTTTTTTTCTCAGAAGGGTCTGTGTGATTATTTGTCGGGGATGGAAGTGTATTTGAGGGTATGTGGATGTATTCTATAGCTGTCTCTATAAAAGAAATGTATGATATTTGTTTATGTCTTAGAATGTGAGATTGTCCTTAGACTGTCAGCGATTTAGGGAGGAATCATCCTTTTCTGAATGTCTGGAAAGGAGTCCTTTCCTGGGACTGATACTGCAATGTCTGTGCGAGAGCAGTGCTCAAGAGGATGCAGTGTGGATTAGCACGGAGACACAGGGCAAATGGCTGCAGGCTGGGTGTCTGGTACAGTGATCCTTGAGCAGGATAAGGACATGTCCGTACCCATGGAGGTCTTGACCGGGCTTGCTTGTCCAGACTACTACTGCTGTTGGGATAGATAGAGATTTCCTCTAAAAGGAGGATGCAGCCAACGGATGTGTCCCTGTCGTTCCCTTTACCACAGCTTTATGTGCTGACTTGTGGGTCACATTCTTAAACAGTTGAACAAGAGTTCTGCATCCCCTTTTAGATTGATGCTGTGGTTTCTTGGGACGCTTTGCATGTCCAGGAGAATGCCATAGGGCACTGATAACTGTGTTTTGGACTTCAATATAGAGTCCTTAAATTTATTCTTGGCTATCTGTGGTGTTGCTAGCCTTGTTAATCGTGAGAAGCTGCATAAGTTGCTGCACTCTGAGTTGTTGATGCTCCTGCTGTTGAAGCTGTTTTTAACATTTGTTCTTTCTGGTCTAGGTCTGAAGACAACTGCTGTTCTTTCAGAAGTAACGTGCCCACAGTCTTCCTGGCCAATGATTCTTCTACAGCAAACAGGATTTCTTCCTCATCCTGAGAAGCCTTCATCTCTTCCTATGTCAGTGGCTACAAGGCCGAGGGCCAACTCACCACTGTCCCCACCAAAATCTGTCGGACTGGGGCCTTCCTTTCATCACACACAAGAAGAGGAGCTTGCAAAGGTCGTGGAGCAGGACCCTATGCTGGAGGAGCTATGCAAGCCTCTGTGCTGTAAGCTTTGCAATGTCACTCTGAATTCGGCACAGCAAGCCCAGGCTCATTACCAGGTAAGCAGAGCAGCAGCAGGCACAGCTTGTAGAGCTGCTACCACTGCAGCTTGCACAGGGCCCAAATGCATGAGCTCCTGCTTACTCTGGTAGCACAGAGCTAAGCGTGGACTAATGCATGAGGTCCGACTTAGCTTCTCAGGTCTGTTTTTGAGTGCTGCATTGGGGTGGCTGTGGCCAACAAGAGCATCTGAGAAAGCTCGTGTGAAGCTGCCTTTGTTATATTTGTTGGATTAGAAGCTGTGGCTTGCAGTGCTCTGTAGTCATGTCTTCACCCCACTTGAATTTGCTCGGTGTTCTAACGTGCTGCAAGTGCTTTAATATAAGGTGCAATCACTGGATTCCACCTCTGAAGTTTTCAAAGCATCAAAACCAAATATACTTTTATTTTGTCATCTGGAAAATAAATTATGAAGCAGTGTGTGTGTCTGTGCTTAAACCTGTGCAGAACAATTACCATTTCACATTTAAAATACAGAGTATTGGTTTAAAGTGAGATGGAAGTAATTCTTGTCTTTCCAATTTGAGAAAATTGGTTGAAAATGAGGCTCAGTTATGCTAGGAGCCAGGCAGGCTAGAGACAAGGGAGGATGCCAACATCTCTCAAGATGAGAGTTGCTATCTTCTCAGGGGCACCTCCTTTATCTAAATTGTCATCTTCATGGCTACTTTTTCATTAATTTTTGGAGTCCTTTTGCTGCACAGTGTAAGAAAAATACCGTTATTAGGACAATAATTAATGTGGTTTCTCTTTTTCAGGGTAAAAACCATAGTAAGAAACTCCGAAACTACTATGCTGCCAACAGCTGTCCAGCACCTGCCAGGATGAGTAATGCGGTTGAACCTGCCCCGCCTCAGGTTGTCTCCCTTCCAGCCCAGGTAAGGCCTGGGAGGGCGGCTGAGATCATGCTGCTTGTGTGTGACCTAACCCCCAATGGGAATAACTACATCTTATGCTTTGAGGATTGCTGTGGATATTTGGAAAGGGTGTTTTTTCGTGACGGCACAAGAGGGAGGAAGTGACCTGTTGAGAGCTGCTGACTTTCCTTTGAAGAAGCAGATATTGATCTGCCTTCTCAGCAGAATATTGGACTTGAAATGTTCTCTTTCTGCATGGCAAATATTTTGATTCCTATGTAAGCCCAAAGTGCTGCTGATGATGTTTGCTCAAGGGCTGGCATTGTTAGAGCTGGATTTGGAAATGAGGGTGCGGCACCCACCCTTTGGAGTCATCCATCAATTGTGCGAGTGAAGCTTACAGGGAAAAGTACTTTGATACTTCTACACCCTTGCCCAGGGTTCTCGCCTAGTTCTGCCTGTGCAGCTTCTTTTGCAGTGCTTGTCCTGTGTGCAGGGTGAGGGGATTGCACCCTCTATGGTTCAGATTACTTCTGTCTTAGAGGCGAAAGAAACATCTTTCACTTTATTTCTCTGGAATTTATTGGTTCTGGTTGTCGGGCACCCTGACTTGGGCACAAATAACCACAACTGGGCAGCAGAGATGGAAACAACAGCTGCCACCTCAAAGCACACAAGTCTCTGCTACCTATACAAAAGCTTATCCTAAGAGTGGCAGATCTGTGTGCCAGAGCCACCAGAGGGAGTCTTAGTCCCACATAAAAGGACTTTGTGGCTTCCAGAATTCAACTGGAGTCCTGAGAGGGCATTAGGTCCTGCCCTGGATGCTGGGAGATGGGTGCTGCACCAGCTGGGGTATCAGGTGCTCCTCTTCGTGTTGGAGCTGGTCCACAGCAATAAGGAGGCTGCGTTAAAGCCATGTGAGGATTGATGTAATGAACATTAGTCTGCAAGCTTGTACAACATCAAAGGAGAGGAGATCTGAAAAAAACAGATTTGGCAGGTGCAGCACTGACATGGCAGTATGAATCACTGCAGTTGCACTATTTACAAAGCACTTTTCTCTGGGTGATGCACAAACACTGAGGAAAAGTGGTTGCTGCCGGGTGCCTGCTCATCCACATCTCCTGCCTGAAGGGCAAGGGTCAGAGCTCTGGCAGTCCCACAGTTGTTTTTATCTCTTAGTGTGGTCAGGGAATGATGGAGAGAAAGGGAGCTGTGGAAACACTGCATTTGATGAGTACACAAGAGAGGAGCACCTTTACATTTTAGTGAGTCTTCCTCAGTGTGAAAATTACTGTTCTTCAGCTCCTGGGGAATCAAGAGTAGGGGTAGTTACAGCCACACAAACCTGTGGGGCTATTGCAGAGGTTCAGGGTGTTCAGTCAGGTTGCTATTGTCTCTATCTGAAGCCAGGGATTTGCACAGACCTTAGGGAATTTGCAGATTCTCTGAGAGGCTGTGGCAAGGAAAGCTAAATTTGCTGCCGAGAGTGGTTTGGGGTGTACTGGGCAAAGTATCCTGATCTGTGAGCTCTGATTCCAGATATGTCATTGCCTGACAAAGACAATATTGGTCTCAATCTTTGATATTCAAATATTTGAGTTACCTTCTTGTTTCACATGCTGTCTATCCTTTTGCTGCTAGATGGGATCCAGTAAACCAGGTGGCAGAGTGATCTTGGCCACAGAGAACGATTACTGTAAGCTTTGTGATGCCTCCTTCAGCTCTCCGGCTGTGGCGCAGGCTCATTACCAAGGGAAGAATCATGCCAAGCGGCTGCGTCTTGCAGAAGCACAGAATAACTCAATCTCGTAGGTATTGTTCAGCTTCACACTCGGGCTGATCTGAAGCCATGTGGCAGTGTCTCTGGCAAGTCTGTCCTCAGAAAAATCTGAATTGTGGCTATTCGTGTTTCTTTAATCTTCAGGGATGCATCAGAACTAGGCAAACGGAGGGCAAGGAAAGAAGGGAATGAATATAAGATGATGCAGAATAGAAGAAATATGTATTCAGTTCAAAACAACACAGGTAACAGCTTTCATTTGTTATATTCTATAGTAGGAATAATACTGAATATTCGATAGATTTGGTCGTCTTCTCTGTCTAAGCTCTATTTTGGCAGCAAGGGGACATGAAAGGAAATGGCCCTAGCTCTGCTTTACGTTTTCTCAGCTGCGAAAGCTGCTTTGTTCTGTCAGCCTGCTTGTTAGTTTGGTTCTCAGTTTGTAACTTAATTTACCATCTGCCTGTCTCCAATGTGGCTCTAAGTGGTGACAATTTTCCTGCTTTATTTACTTGGCGAGCAGCCAGGTGCTTTGACTCCTACGGTAGCACATCAACCTGTACTTGCACTCCCATGTCCAGAATGAGAGAGCCTGTTAGCCACCCTGTAAGACCATCTGTTCCTGGAATCCTTCCTCAGGTGTTAGATACTAACTTTGCCTCTTTTCTGTGATAGAAAGTGAGCTTTATAGTGTCCAGACCAGAATCCCTTTTAAGTTGTGTTACTAGCACATAGTGGCTGAAACCCTACCTCCTGATTGAAGCTCAATTTAATCCTATCGTACTAGCCACTATCATTTGGAAAAGATAAATCTTTTCAAAATTATCTCAGGACTCTTTAATTTTAACTAAGGAAGGTTTATTGCATTGATAAGACAACTCTAATTCTGGAATTAGAGGGTTTAAAAAAAGAATTGGCTTGTCACTTAAATGATTATACCGCTATTTTTCAAAAGCACTATTGATTGCTACTAAGAATCTAAGTCTACTCTATGCTTTAGAAAATATCAGCAAGTACCAGTCCCCTGTGTGCTCCTCCTTTGTAAATCTGGTTCTTGGTGGAGAAGTCATGTGGGAAAATAAGAATGGGTTTCTAATCAGCTAAATAAAGGAATCTTTGGCTGCTTTTAAAAATTTGTCAGCCTTAGGAGTTGTCACTGAGCTGCCTCAAGCTTCTCTGCCTTATAGATAACCAGGCTTTTCTGTTGTCTCCGCAGGTCCCTACTTCAATCCCCGCTCACGCCAGAGGATTCCTCGGGATCTGGCCATGTGTGTCACCCCCAGCGGCCAGTTTTACTGCTCCATGTGCAACGCTGGGGCCAGTGAGGAGATGGAGTTCAGACAGCACTTAGAAAGCAAACAGCATAAAAGCAAGGTGTCCGAACAGCGGTATCGGAACGAGATGGAGAACCTAGGCTACGTACAATGACACGCCACCCTTGGCAGTAGTTTGCAAATAGAGCAGCTTGTCTCTCGCCTGCTGTTTGCCACATGCCCTGCTTTGTGCTCCATTTGATAGGAGTCTGCTCTCGAGCTAAACATGTAACACCTCCAACCTTAATGGTATGGTTAGATTTTTTTTCTATCATAGTTGGCAGGATGATGCTATGCAGGACATGAAGTGTTTTGATGTTTGTTTGCTAGTTATCTAAGGCTCTTCATTGTATCGAGTGTGGGGGGACTCTGTCTTCTTCTCAGCCTTCTGCATGAATGTGCAAAGCTCAAGAAGTGCTGGGAACTTCTGTGATTCTGCCACACAGGTGGATCTCGTGCAAAGCCCACACTCCCCCTGGCATGCTAGAGAGCAGTGCTCCTGAATGTCTTGTTAGAGCAAGGTGAATCTCTGGGCAGCTTGCAAGAGAGGGACGGAAATGAAGCCTGCAAATGTTTTTTAGATGGTTTGGTTGTCCACAGATTGCTGCTGGGGCCCCTATTGCAGCCCACAGGAAGTTCTTCCCACATCCCTATAGAAGACCCACCTCTCATCCTTGGATGATCTTGTCTCCTCCTTCCTCTGGGATGAAGAGTTCATTCTATTATCTGACATTAGTTATCAGCTGGCTAGCCACATCCAGAAATACTCTGTTTTATGAAATGGTTACCAGAGAAGAAAGACTTTCAGAGCTATAGTTGATTAGATATCTTCATACACCACAGGGGTAGTTCACCTCTCCGAGGAGAACCTGTGTGGGTCACGCAAGTCTAATGAAGAGAATTGGAAAGCAAATCTACTCCGTTTGGATGTGCTCTGCTCTGATTCAGTGTTAGAATGTGTAGGGCTGCGGATGGGTTGGAGAGAGCTGTCAGCTGTGATTTCTTTACATGCTGACATAGGCAGGTATTGGTGTGGCCAGTAGCTCTGTTGCTGGAGAAGAGCAGGGCTGCCTGGACTCTGGGGAGCAGGTATCAGCTGTATCCCACCTACCACACCAGCCTGCAACTAAGCCCAAAGTGAACACAGAGGTGAGGTGAAATGCTCCCTTGAACCTGAATTACCAATATTGATCTTTTTTTCTATCTATCTCAGACTGGCTTTTAGTTCCATTTTTTGATGGGAACATCACTGTTTCAGGGACCATCCAAACTCCAAAGCTAGGCAGGATGTAGTTGCTGGGTGTGACAGTTGTTTGAGTAACAGTTTCTTGGCCAAGCAGAAATCTTTGAAACTTGTTCAGCAAATCTTTAGGTGTAGAGAAGCCCAAAAAGTATGCATGTGTTTTAATGTTCCTTAAAAGTACTGGAAAGGGGATAAAGAGCAGAAGTAGGGCTGCCATTTATTTTTCTACTCATTTGGGTAGGTGTAGGAGCTGTGATTGGAATCCAATTCACAATGTTTCTAAAACATTGGCTCCAGTGGCAGGCGCAGCTCTTAGCTAGCCTCTTTGGGACCTGATTTGCCACTGTGCTGCCAGAGCTCTACACTGGTCTCAGCTTCCTTGGCTTTCGGGGCAGGTGCAGAGAGGGGATAGGAAGCTGCTACTTGTCTCCTACTCATCTGTACACAGCAGGTTGAGTTGGTTGCAGCTCCACTGATTTCAACGGCACTTTGCCACGGGTAAATTTGCCCCAGTGTGTGATGTTGAAGGTAGTCCCCTTTTGGTTGTCTTTTTTTCTTTTTTTTTTCTCTTTTCTCTCTTTTGTTTTTTTTTCCTTGCCATCTGATCCTGCCTATTGCATTCCAGAAGGCTTTTCTGCTTGCCTTAAAAACAGAAAAATGAATAAACAAAAAAAGGATATATTTTATTCATCTTTCTAATTCACCTCAGAAAGGCTTGTGATACTTAACTGCTCAAAAGTAAAAGTAAACAATAGTTTCTGAAAAAAAAATATTGCATCTCTAGCTGCCTGAGCATCAGCAATCCTTGTAACCTTAACTCAGCCCTCCTAAAGCCGGGGAGGCCGAGCTCCTCTGTAGTAGTTGAAAACAACCTTCTGCATCATTCCACGCAGACTCCTGCCCTGAAGGTACAGGCAGGTCTGCGGGTGTCATCTTGAATGTGATTCCCTCCTCTCCTCTGTGCAAAGCCTGGTTCAAGAGACTTTGTGCGTGGGAGCTCATCAGTGTAGAACAGGTTCTCAGGTTGCAGAGCCCTGAGCTGCATTGACAGCCTGTGCTTCTGTTTCTCCTTTTCTGCCCCAACCCATCGTCCTTATGCTGCTTTGAAGATTGCCCTTGGCCTTGTCTCTTGTCAGCTTTTGATTCCTACCCCATCCTTTGCAGTCAAAGAAGGGCTGATTTTCTCCTCCTGCTCCGTCTTTTGCAATTTCCCTGGTGTGACACCTCTGTGTAGGGACTTAGCACAGTGTGTTTCATGAGTGATCCCTGCACTGTGATTAAACATTCCTCTAGCTGTAATTTATAGCATGATATTTCCCACAGGCTCAAATTAGTGGCAGAAAACCAGCTCCTTGTGAAATAAGAGCCTGGGAAGCTCGAGGTACTGGTGTTGTCTAGCCTATACTGTTGCTTTGGTCAACGAGGCATTTTTCCCTGCTTTCACAAATCCTGAGCCTACCCTGAACAGGGAGGCATCTAGATAGTTTGTTGCCTTCACAAGAATACAAGGATTGAATGTTGTTGTCCTGAGATTTTTCAAAATTCGCCCCGGGCATAAAATACAGAGTGAGACTGAAACAAGAGCTGTTCGGAGCAGGCATGAAGGTATGTATGTTCATTGCTGGGAGAAGCAGCTGAAATTTGCTTTGCCCCAGAACTCTGTTTTGGCCCTTCCCTGCGAGCGACCAAAGCTTCCTTCTCCCTTTTCAGCATTGCATAACACAGAAAAACCATGCCACACTGATACCGTTAGGGTCAATCCAAACTCAAACCCTTCAGCAAGAGAAGCAGGACTGATCCTGCTTATATTTCTATTTTATATTTTTTATTGAGAGTTATCACCAAAATTGGCATTCAAAATGCATGTTGAAAATGCATCCTGGCATAGCCTTACGTGGCATAGATGAGCTGGGCTGGATGCTGAATAGCTGTAGTACCACTTTACACACCCAATGAATCTTGTTCTTAAACAAAATACCAAACATGTAATAGGACTTCTGTGAAGCTCTCACATTGGCCAGTAGGTTAATGACCTTTGCTGCTAGAAACAAATCATTAAATCAGTGTGTTCGTATTTATTTTACTGTGCTGACCACTAATTGACTTGTGAATATTTAAGGCATGATACTATAGGTTGTTTTTGTTTAAATACAAAACTCTACATTGCACTTTGCTTTTGGATCAGAACAGATATTTATTATATTTGTGAAAATATTTTCCTGCCCCGTATATGTAATGTTTATTCTTCTTTGATGCAAAAATAACCCAACCAGTGAATTTCTTTTCTTTCTTTCTTTCCATAATGAACAAAATTGGGATTTTCTTGTAGATCTTTCTTAAATGTCTGTTTCCTTTTTTTCTCTCTCTACTGATTCCTCTGGTGGTAATTTGGGACACCATTTTTAAAGACCCATGAATTTCATACTACTTTTAAGCATTTCTTTAAAGGCAAGGAAGTAAACTGTGTGGAAACCATGTATTTGCAAGGAGTTTGAAAGTGATTTTTTTTTTGTTTGCGTTAGGTATTAGCTATTACTTTGCATTCTGCAGTAATAACTAATTGTTTTATATTCTTGCCTAACATTGGTGTCTGACTTTTTGTTTTTTGGTGTACATCAAAAGGAACCCTGAAAACATCTGTGGAGTTGCTTAGGATGGTCATCAACGTAACAAAATGCATTCTTTTTTATTACCATCTGTAAAGCTTCTTGTGTTTTTCCTTCTTTTTATGCCCGCTATTGGACATTAGAAGGGAGAGCTATTTCCGTAAGCCCTGATTCCTGTTTTAGCTTATTAATGCATGAAGTCCTTTTGCAACATTGCTTAAGCAGTACTCTTACTAATCAATAGGAATTTTGCTCAAGTCAGGAGTAAATGAAATAGCCTAGCTAGATGTTAGCTAGGCCGAGGCAAAATAGACTGCTAAAACTTGTCTCACTCCTGTTTCAGATATAACACCCGTATGATTTTGCTTTTAGAAGAATGTTTATCTTGCTCTGTAAGGATTTGCCCCAGCTAAAATAGTTTAAAGTTCATTGTCTTTAGTTGATTAGGAACAAGCCTTTAAACCCTCCAGGAATTTCATACTGCTATTTTCTCATGTATGTTTTTTTTTTTTTTTTTTAAACTGTATATACAAGGATGCTCTGGATAAGAAGGACATCTATTGCCAATTATGGAAAAAGGTTTCCAAAAGGAATGATTCTGCTTGGCAAAGTTCACATATTCTCAGGATTAACTGAGGCTGGAGAAGTATGGGCCTGGTTCCTTTGAAGTTAGTGACTAAGTCCCCATTGTTTTGAGCTGGGCCAGCTTCTTGGTCACCTGCAAAACATTAGAAGTGAAAATAAAATCCATTTTCATGCAAATGTGCTCAAATGGTAGTTTTGGGCATCTTCTTTAGAAGATGCACTTTTTATCTCAAGTATCTGCAGGTAAAGGCAGGAGTGCATTTTGTTTGTTTGTTTTTAATTGGACCTAAAATATTTTATGTGAATACGAGTTTTTCAATCTGTGTTTGTGGGGGAGGACTTGATTTAATTTCCTTCTGCATCTGTCCAGCAACATCATTTGCAAGAGCTTTGAATGTATTTCATCTAGAGCCTTCTTGTCAACTTGGTTTTGTACATTTGTCCTTTTTTTCTTTATATTGTACTTACCCCCCCCCCAAGGGAGTAGTGGATGAAAATAATTTTTTTCTTCGGCATATAATAAATCATCTTGCTCTTACCATTGTACAGCCTTAGTGTTTGGTATTGGACTGCTTGGGATATGGCTAGGCGATGCATGACTGAATTGATTTTACCTCAGCATATTAATATGTTTTAAAAGACCTCGATAAGGTAGCAGCCTGCACTCAGCCAGGACTTGCAGCTCCTTAACTGTGAAATGGTGGTGACCAGCACCCAGGACATGTATCTGCGCATCTTTTTGCCACTGTGCCTCTTTCCTTCACCTTCCAGAAGAAGCTACATGCAGGTGCTTATGTACCATAAATGATTTCCTGAATGGAAAGGACATCCTGAATTGCAGCCTTGAAGCTGCCAGTTATTGCAGACTATCAGAGCCCCATTGAGGCCGACACTGAGCGAAGGGCTGCCTGGGAGGACAACTGCGTGTACATGTGGGTATGTGTTTGCATATATATTCTTCAGAGGTCTTCATATTGCCCACATAGCACCCTCATGGCCACCTGGAGCATCCAGAGCTGCTCATGGCCACCCAAGGGAAACTCAAGCACCTCCGGCCTCCTGAGGTTGATCCTGGCCCCTTTCTTCTGGAGAATTAGTCAGGGCTGACATGGAGGGAGCTGGTCATGGGAAATCAAGAGCACAGAGTCTAGGTTGGCTCTCACAATGGTGAGAGGGATTTGTGTGGGAGTCGGCAGGGATAGCGTTGCAGAGGAGAAGCTGATTGCACATGACACTTATTGTCACATTGCATGTTTCAGTAGTCCTGCCAAAACCTGGGAAGGAAAAGACTCCTGGCTCTTTTACAGGCTGCTTCCCTGCTGTACGTCAGATGCAGGAGCTGATCGAAGGAGCTCTGGCAAGTAGAGATGCGTGATCAAATATTTACTGCATTATCACTGTAGAAGGACTTGACATGCATATTTCTTTCCTTAGTCTCTGAAATATGATTAACCCCAGAAAATAAGAATTTGTTCTAGCATGCATCCTATCAGGGGCCCAAAAGCAAGCTGATAATTCTCTGTAGGGTCCCTCTCTGTAAAGCACCCTCTCTACAAATGTGCTGCACTCTCTGTAAAATGTTGCTCTGCTCTTTTTCAGCCTGTGCCTGGCATTATCAGACTAGTTTTATTTTAAATATTTCCTATGGTTCTCTCATGCAAGTCTGCTTGAGACCCATGCACATACGCTGTTTCTGCTGCATAAGCAAAGGGCCAAATCTCCTTAAAATATTGTGCAAAAACTCCCACTGGGAATTAAATTACACTCAGTAGTAATAAATCTTCCAAAAATGCATGCTTTTTTATCCCAGCAAGTAACAGTGGGGAAGGTCTGCTGCATAGTGGGTTTCTCTGCAGCAGAACCAGATACTAATTTACAGTAGCTGGCGATCGAGCTCGGTTCCTCCATGGCCAAATGCCCACTGTGTGGGAGGAGATGTAGAAGAACGGGTCCACAACTGCTTGCGTGCCCTTCTTCTACTTATGTTTTGCTTGGAAAGGTGGCAAAGGCTGGTGCTGGAAGTCAGGGTTTAAGTTGAATTATAGGGCTGGTTTAAGGCTAGGGTTTAAATGATTAAAAAACATTAGGATTTGACATTTCAAAAGCACGGGCTGGTCTGTTTGGGAGGAACATGCAGAGCCTCCTTGCCTGTCTTCTGCTGACTCTAGCCAATGTTTTTACTAATTC